ATTAAACGTAGGTATTCATTAAAACATACTTTCACAAAGATTATACTTATAAACTCACCAAAAAATATTTGTCATTAACTGCGTGTACATACCTTTGGTCATATAATAGAACTTCGCAAGCTACCACCATTTTACGACATTAATATGCCAAGGAGGTTAAATAATAAATCATGAAAGTTTAGGGCCCACAAATTAAGATGACACGTCATTTTGATCCATGGGTTGTTACCCAATTTTTTGATCGATCTATATGTTTTCTTTGGTTGGTCCATCGTTGTATATGATGTTCCCTTGTTGCCTAATTGTTTATGAAACATAACTTTTTTTTTTTTTGGTAGAATGAAAATATGAATGTGGTTGATCATTGCGTTTATAATCTTCCTCTCATTTGCTCGTAACTTTCGTTAATGGTGAAAGGGGCTGGATACCATGCCAACAGAGGGTTATTTCTAATTCTCTACCAACACGTAAACTTTTTCCTTTTTTATTTTTCTCGATCTATTGAGTAATTTCGCTCATCAAACATTGCAGACTAATGCATATTTAAATTTAGAAAAATAATAATATCGTTTTTAAATAAAATATTAAATAATTATCAGTCCAACCTTTTGAATATATAATGTAAAATGAGAAACTACTTATGAATTGATACAATTTTCAATGTATATATTTGAATAAAAATCTTTCAAATCAATTAGTTACTAACTTCTAGATACTCAAACCTATTTATATATTATACTTAAACGTCATTGTGAGACTACGAATTTCTATATAGAAACATTTTCCACAAGAAACAAACTTTAATGAATTTATAATAAATAAATTATAATGTAATTGTTTTAACCTGTTTTTTTCAATTCTCGATGAAGTACGTGGCCTACTTTTAGACAATTAATTTATTTGGCTGAAAAAATATTAGTTTGTGCGTACAAAAGAAAAGAAAAAGGAAAAAGGAAAGAACATAAAAGAAAGAAATTTAGCACTTTTATTTGATTATTTCGCCCATGGACTTTGACGAGATATTTTAGAAATGAGAGGTGAATAGCTCTTATGTTGAAGAGTTGTAAAAAAACATGGTGAAAGTGTTGACATGCAAATTAGTAAGGAGGGAAAATGGTGTCATCATGAAAGAAAAAGGCCACCTAGTACGCACAAAGTTGTTCGTATGTCAACAACCATGTAGTTCCACTTCTTTAACATGTCAAGTTTACGTTCTTTATCCTTAACCAAGTTATGAAAACATCATCTTTCTAAAATTCTACCATAAATCCCATCCATTGTAAGAACCAATTCTTCAAACTAGTGCCTGCGAGAAATTTGCGTGCATCTTATGAAAATCTATGCTAAAAGTAATACCAATAATGGTATATAAGTGTACCCTCACCATCTACCAAATGAATAAAAGACATGAAATTTAGATGATTCATTTGATATGTAGCATTTAATTTCTTTATTTTTCTTTATTTTTTATGGGTTGATGTTTTTGTTTGAATATTATTCATCGGTTCATGGATTACTTTACTAGTCTGACTCGAGTCAATAGAACCACATGGATAACAAAATTCTTTCTATTACAAAGACTTGATCGAGCTTCAGATAATTAGTTAAACTGAAATAACTTCTTCTTTTTTTGTATTACATGGGAATTGAACACACACCACTATACTACATACACCTAACACACACCCCACACCACTAGGGCTAATTCTAGTGGATAACTGGAATAAATAACTTCTAATCAGCTGATTCACATTCTTAACGTTAATAGTTTATATCTTAAGACGAGCATGGTGATGAACAACTGCAACATTTATTTTTAATTTCTTTGACATAGAAATTATTGATATATGATTGAAATCAAGTGTGAAACAAGGAAAAGAAAGCAAAAATAATGTGCATAAAAATATTATATTTGAAGAGCTGGAAGGTTGTCCCAAAGGCCTGAAAGAAAGGATGTTCATATGCATCTCTTTTAAATTTGAAAATTATATTTTATACTTACAAAAAAAAAAATTATATTTTAAGTCGGCGCTTTTCTTCAGATTTACGTAATCATAATCTGCATCATTGATTTAATCTTTAAACTATGTGATTGGATTAGTGTTGAAACTTGGTACCCTTGAACCTCAATCGAATCCACAATCTGTTTATTTTAATGCCAAATTTTACATTGATCTTTACTCAATTTTTATCAAAATTATCTCTTAAATGATTTTTTTTTATATTAAAGGGAGTAAAGTAGATCGCGTATTAATCTTTGTAGTCTAAACGACATTAATTAATAATTTAATAGACAAATAAGAAACCAATTTTCTAGTTTAATGTAATTTACTGTTGCAATGGTTTCTCGTTGTCTTTTGTAAAATCCAAGCTACCTCTAAATATTAAAATTAGTCCTTTCTAAATAAATTTTGATTTTTTTTTACCATTGAATTCTACCTTTTAAAAGTTCATTATACAATTTTTGTCATACTACGTACTACTCAAACAATTTCTGAAAAAAAGAAGAAAAAAAGAAGAAGAAACAATCTCAAACAAACGTAAGGACTAAGGACTCGAGCAAGTAAACACTATTCAAACAAGAAGTCGGCAAATCAGAAAATGGCTCATGCAAAAATCCAAACGAAAAAAATAAATAAAAAATTGCATAATTATTTTCTGAAATCACTAAAATTTAATTGTTAGATACTCTATAAAATATTAAAGAGTGTAAGTTCGAGGAAGCTCAACTAGAAGGCATCGCCATCAAAATCGGCCATGGAGTGTTTTACCAAGTCTAACTTGAGAGAGAGAGAGAGAGAGAGAAAGAGACAATTGTTTTTATAAACATCATTTAGCCAAAGTCAAGTCAAGTCACCGGCGCATCATATGCTCCAAAATTCACCATTTCATCTCATCTCTCTACATAAACGAGATATTCTTTTTGTGAAAAATACTGAACTTTCTCTACAAAAAGAAAAAGAAAAAAGAAGAAGGTTATATTTATAAATTTTTATAAACTAAACTATATCCGTCATACTTTAGTCAAGAGTATATGACTGATTGAAGTATGACCGGTCATACTTAGTGTAATTTGTAAAAAGAAGTTTGTAAATACATTTTTTTTCAAAAAAAAATCCAATTTTTTTTAAGAACACAAGTGTCTTTCATTATTTTAAGTTTTAAACTAATCTTTATTTCAATAATACTATATTTTGTTCATGATCACAATCTAATAGTCTTTCTAATTATTTAAAAAAGGAAATAATTAAAAAGTCTCTGAAAATTATTAAATACAGATGCTTTTTTTTATCAAAATATTAAATTATTCTAAAGTATCATACTAATATTTCTTCTAATTATTTAAAAAAAACTAAAAAGTGAAATGTATTTAATATTTTGAAGAATATCAAATAAATTTTTTAAAATTTTCCTTTTCTTTATTTTTACATTGAAATAATTATAAAAATATTACTACATAAATATTTTGGAGAAGAATTAATATCTATTACTTCAGACTTTTCTTTCACCCTTAAATCATTAATAAAATTATTAAGCTCGTTTTTCTATAATAAAAATTAACATATAATATTTTAATGTTGATTTAATATCAGTTTTTGAACTAATATCAAGTTAGTTAAATTATTAAAATTATCAAATAATGATAGTTTAGTTAGCGCATAAAAGCTGAGCAAGTAAGAGTTAGAGCATGTGTTCGATCCTCCAGTACTATTCTGAGAGAGGTTTAAAACATTAATCATGCATTCGTTTCCGAATAGGATTATTTCTCGTGAAAGATACTTGTATTTATAAAAAAAATTATTAAAATACTTTTTAAGTTAATTATTTAACTATATTTATTAATTTCGATACCAATTTATTATTAATAATTTCATCTACTTATATCAAACTATTTGTGAGTAATAAATTAAAATAATTAGATTAAAATGATTCAACACTTATAATAATGAGAGGAGGACTTCCACCAATGTAGATATTGGTCCTTCTGCTATTAATAATAATAAAATAAGAAAATTTTCTTACAGCTATGCGTATATTAATTCACCTACAAACACAGCTAATTTATTCGTGTCATATAATTCCATTGATGACACATGGCTACTATTCAACCTTCCTAAGCAACCTTGCTATAAACTAATGTTATAAAAATCAGACCGAATTAATTAGGTCGATTCGAAAATCGGTGAATCGATTATGTAATTGGTCTGATTTTCATATTGGATCAGCCATGTTACAGAATCAGTGTGACCCGGTGCGATTCGGCTGGTTTTCGTAAAAATCGATGACCCGGTCGGTTCAACCAGTGATCCGGACCGGTCTATATATATATAAAAAAACTAATTTATTTTTATAAATTAATGTCTTTTTTTTTTTACTCTCAAACACAAATGATTTGTTTTCTTTTGAAACATTTGAGTAATTTGTAGCTTATTAACTTACATAGATTATGTACTTACAACACTAATATTATCTTGATTATGCAATATTCAGGGAATTTTGATTTGATTTATAGTTAGAGATATCATTTACTGAACCTGAAACACTAGTATCACAAATATTATATGTTTGATTGATCTTTTATTTGACAATGATGTGTAATTTATTATTTTTATATTAAAATATTTGAATTTGGTATATTTTTTACAAGTATTTAAGTATATTTATAGTTTTTTAATATAAATTGTAGATTTACATATACTTATTGAATCATGCGGTTTGAACCAATAACTCACTGGTTAAACCAGTAATCTCGACCGAGTCAATAACCGAACCGGGTTTAATAAGATTAGTATAAACTATTGTCTATTCATGACACATATGATCTATTCCCACACTCTGCCTCTGAAATGGTGTCATTTGGATTTAATTATTAGTGTTTTTTTTTGGTTTGCGATTAGGATTAGATTTAGTCATTAGAAGTATTTTAAATAATAATAATAATAAGAGAATTGTTATTATGAGCATACGCGTTTTCAAATACTTGGTTGGGTCCAAACTCGTTTGTTTGGCGTCAGAACATTGTTTTTAGATAACACCTTTTGCCTATTTGACAACGTTTTCGCAATTTACAAAATTTCGATACTTTTGAAGACTGAAAAATCATTGGGAATCAACTCTGTTCAAGTTCGTTTCTTTCAAGAAAAACTTAATCTGGGTCGTGCTTTCTTCCCCTAGTTGACGCTTATACGCAACAAGAATGAGCAAGAACTGGAAATTCAGCTACTTGAGGGATCATGATGGATTTTTGTGCCTTCTAGCGTTTTGTTTGTTGTTTCAGAGTATTGTTTTGAGTTGCTCTTTGAATGAAGAAGGTATGGGAATGTTTAATTTGTGCAATTTTTGTATTTTCTCATGTGGTTCATTGTGGGTGCCTAGGGGCAAAAAAAAAAAAAAAACTGAGAAATGGGTTCTATGTGCAGGTAAAGCTCTTATGAAGTTGAAGCAAGGAATAGTGAGTGACCCTTTTGATGCTTTGTCAAATTGGGTTGATGATGAAGTAGCTGTTGACCCTTGTAATTGGTTTGGAGTTGAGTGCTCAGATGGAAGAGTGGTGATCTTGTAAGTGGTGATTTTGTGATCTGTTTTTCAGAAACTGAATATATATGATTTTCTGTTTCCAATTTATGGCCAAAGCCAGAGCAAAGAAAGGAAAATGAATGGATCATTTGGGTCATCATATGAGAGATCCAAGTTTCAGTTTTGATATAATTTCTCTCTGTTGTTGGGAAAATTGTTTACTCAGTGATGTGTTGTGACTTCTGCAGAAATATATCATGATGTTTTGTTATATTATAATATCTCCACAGTTGAAATTTGCCTTCGTCCTGAATCAACTGATCAATTCCATAGACGGTTGATTTATCTTTACAAATTTTGAAGAACAGTCTCCTGCTAAATCAAATGACTAGTGTTCATATTGTTGGTTAAATTGCACTACTAGCATGCTAGATGTTGTTTCATTTTAAACTTACGGAGTTTTAATCATGAGAATATATTTTGTTGCCCAGGAATTTGAAAGACCTTTGTCTTGGAGGCAGTCTGGCACCTGAGCTTGAGAAACTTGTTCATATAAAGTCCATGTAAGTAATTGCTTGTTACCTAGTTGCATTGTTTATTGACGCTAATTCCTTAATAATTTCAATTTTCAAATACTTTCTACTGTCCAATAACATCGTGACGAATATGTTGCAGAATTTTACGGAACAATTCTTTTTATGGGATCATTCCTGAAGGAATTGTACACTTGAATGAATTGGAGGTTTTGGATTTGGGCTACAACAACTTCAGTGGAACTCTACCTACAGATCTTGGCAGTAATATTTCACTAACAATACTGTAGGATTATACTCTTTGAACAGTTCAATTTCATCTTTTAAACTTCTTTTGCTACTATGTACTCAGTTTCTTCTTATTGCAGTTTGCTGGACAATAATGATCTTCTTGATGGTATCTCTCCGGAAATTAATGAATTGAAGATGCTTTCTGAATGTCAAGTAGATGAAAACCAGCTTATTAGTTCAGATAAAATGCCAGGTTGTACAGGAAGATCCATCACACGGTATGTCATTAAGCATTTGAAAGGGGTCCTCTCTAGTCTAGAGTTATAAGACATGAGAGTCTGTCACATATTTCTTGTTCTCCATATACTAAGTTGTGTCCATTTTTTCCATTGTATATCATAGGTTTAATTCTTTTATCATTCTTTTTTGAAGGCATGTTGGCCAAAATAAAAAGGGTCTTCGGAGCCTACTGCAAACTCCTATTCGTGAAAATCCTTATAATCGTGAAGATACACATAATCGTGCAGCTGCTCCACTTCCCGAAAGCCCTTCTCCATCTCAGCCAGAGCCTCCTTCGGCTTCCCCTCTGCCAGATCCTCCTTCGACTTCCCCATCTGCCTCAGCAACACCACAACTGAAGCCACCTTCCCCTGATCAAAATAATTCTGCTTCTTCTCCCCTACCGACCCCTGGCTCTGCAACACGATCTGAAAGTACCTCATCAAACCATCGAATTGCTATTTTGGCTGGAGTTGGGGGTGGTGCTGTATTTATTCTCATTTCAAGCATTGGCATGTATCTCTGTAAAACCAACAAGGTATCTACCGTAAAACCTTGGGCCACGGGATTAAGTGGACAGCTTCAGAAGGCATTTGTGACAGGTAAATCTAAGCATGTTTTCTCTTCTAAATTAATGAAGTAAAGCAATGGCTGAAAAGAGTAGGTATGAGTTAATGTACACGTGCACACTGCTTCAGGATTCCTCAAATATGAGAAAAAGAGGAGAGAAACTTCACTTATTCTAATTGGGTCCTCGGTCATCCAAGTGATCTGGCTTGAATGATTGCATTCAATTGACTTTGAGTTTGAGCTATAATATTTCACTTGTAAGATATCTGCCTTTGTACATGTATGACGTAGTTTTACATATGCAGGTGTGCCAAAGCTAAAGAGATCAGAGCTTGAAGCAGCATGTGAGGATTTCAGTAATGTAATTGGTACTTCATCCATTGGTACAGTTTACAAAGGGACTTTATCTAGCGGTGTTGAAATAGCTGTGGCCTCTGTTACAGAGGCATCATCCAAAAATTGGTCAAAGACTTCAGAAGTTCAATTTAGGAAGAAGGTATCGTCACCCAAAAAACAAACAAAATTATTTGTAGATTTTCAATTATGCGCTTTGTAACTAACATTTTAAGCCATTATGGTTTCAGATAGATACATTATCAAAAGTGAACCACAAGAATTTTGTAAATCTTCTTGGATATTGTGAAGAAGATGATGAGCCTTTTACCAGAATGGTGGTTTTTGAATATGCCCCAAATGGAACACTCTTTGAGCATCTACACAGTGAGTACCTATCATTTTGGTGTTATTATTACATAGAAAGTAAATTGATGATTGAGAGTATCCATGTTCGTGGTCAACAACTTTCAATTTGTTGGTTTTACATGCATTCAGTTTCTGGTCAACAAGTTTTCCATCTGTTGATACATTCAGTTTATTGAAGCTTCCATTCAGATTAGGACTAATTTATTATCAGTCTGTGTTTTTCTGTAGCAATAGCATCACTTCTGATCGTTGAATACTAGCAAACTTTTTGATACATTAGATTAATATCATGAGATAGACAAAATTATAGACAAGGACACATGGCTTTGGCCACCCATTAAGGCATTTCTCTGACTTTATTGTAGATATTATATCATACTATAAACATCTTATGTATTTGATTTGTTGGGAATTTCAGTACAAGAAGCTGAGCACTTGAATTGGGAAACAAGACTTAGAGTTGCTATGGGCACGGCTTATTGCCTGCAACATATGCACCAGTTGGACCCTCCTTTGGCCCATAGTAACCTGAATTCTTCATCTGTACAGCTCACTGATGATTATGCTGCGAAAATCTCGGATTTAAATTTCTTAGCTTCAGCTGAGATAATAAAAGCTGCTGCTAAAAAACACACTGACATGACATTATCAAGTAATGTTTACAGCTTTGGTGTTATATTATTTGAAATGGTAACAGGCAGGCTCCCTTATTCAATGGATAGTCATGGCTCAATTGAAGACTGGGCTTCACACTATTTACAAGGGGATAGGCCCCTCAAGGAAATGGTGGATCCAACTCTATCTTCCTTCAAAGAAGAACAACTGGAACAAGTTGCTACTTTGATTAAATCTTGTGTCCATCCTGATAAAGAGAAGAGACCAACAATGAAAGATGTTAGTATGAGATTAAGAGAGATAACAAAAATAACACCTGAAGCAGCTGTTCCAAAACTTTCTCCACTTTGGTGGGCAGAGATTGAGATTTCTTCTTTAGATGCAAGCTGAAATCAGTAAATCAGACACTTAAGTATGGAGTTTTCTCCATTCTTATCCTTTTTTCCATTGGTGAAGGCGCAAAAAGGTACCCACCTGTAGATTGATACCTCTTGTATCTAATGTGGGAGAGTGACAAATCACATGTACATAAGGATAAGTTAAACAAAATGTGAATTTTTTTTTGGGTGCTTCTTTAATTATGGTCTATGGAATTGCACTAGCAAAAAAAGGTGCCCCATATCAGTTTATTTGGTGAATTAAAGATATTTTTAATTATATTTTGTGCTGTTACTACCCTTTGCTCTTCCCCTATTCCAAATGTGCTATCTTTCATAATATATTACAATTTGTTCTGAGCAATAAATTGTTCAAGGGTTATATTTATCTCATTCAACATGAGATAAACTAAATTTCTACACACATATAACAAAGGTGGGTCTCACTTCTATTTTTTTTTTCTCTCCAATTATGTATTTATTCTTCTTATAATCTTGTTTCAGTAACATAAACATAAGAAAAATATTTTTAATTGTTCAATAATCATAATCCTGCTTTCATTTAATAAAGCTGTATGTGATGAATAAGAGGGTAAAGGCTGCGAGGTGGGAAAGTTGAAGTTTAATATTGATTGATAAAGTCAAAGTCTTAACGGGGGCTTGTTGACTTTGAAGTAGGAAGTATGAACAAGATTTGTTAGCATATGGCATCTGCAAATTACCAATCTGTAGCCTGCCAAATATAATGGACCGAAGAAAAATTCCATGGCAACAACTGCATGATTGCGTTTGAATCTGAGAATTTTTTATTTATAATTTTCATTACAAATTCTTAATAATGTTATTGGGTTGTCGTTTTCTTGGAACAAGAACATCTTCTCATACTAAATTTTTTATTCAGCAAAAAATTTAATTAAATAAATCCACGGCAACTTGAATGCTGTTTACTATTATATGATGGCGGCAGATGTTGCAAACGGCAGCTGTTTTTGCTATACGACAGTTGTTGATTTTAGATGATATTATTTGACCCAACATCTTGCATTCTGCATTTCTGCCCATCATTCTAGAAAAATCAACGGCCCAAAAGAATTCAGGAATAAAGTGTTCGATGTATATTAGGATAAAATTTTTTGAAGGCGTCAACATCTTTAATAATTTTAATTAAGTTGTTTAATTAATTAAATAATATATTTAACATGATAAGTAATTCAATTGATAAATAGATAATGAAAATAATTTTACAATAATTATATTAGAACCATTCACTTAATAATTTACTGTTCATACTGTGTTAAATATTTAAGTGGTCAAACTAGACTCATCATTGGTTCGCAGAAATTAATTTGAAAAGAAAAACAGTGTACTTGATTCCTATGAAGCACTGTTGTAAAATCGGGCCCGACCCGGTCGGGTTGACCAGAAATCCGATGAACCGGTCATCAAATCAGTTCGAGTCAAGTATTGGACTAGTTATGTATCTACCCGATCAAACCTGGTCAAAATTCAAACAAAATCGGCCGAGCTCGTTCAAAACCGGTGACACGGTCGGGTTATGCATTAAAAAAAATCAAAAAATAAAACTATTTCATCTTATCAGAAAAAAAATATAGAACTCATTTTAAATTCTTTTTATAATTTTATTTGCTAGTATACTCTTCTATAATGACCTTAAATTTTAGTTTCCAATACTGAAACAATTTGCGGAATAATAAATTAGAGAATGTGACATATGTCATTTTAATGTTGTTGCATTTGAAAAATATGAGTTCAATGTCACTGAGAGAGATATGTTTATGGAGATTATGAGTTGCAATTTAAATTGACATAGTAATAGCGTGCATTTTTATTTATTCATGCTTCATGTTTTTGAGCTTATTTAGTAAACCTTGTTTAATTCATTTTAGATATGGAGAATATAATTGAATTTGTATGTTCATATTTTTATATATCTATGTATATCCGGGTCAATCGGTCTGACCAGTGACCCACCAGTTCGACTAGTGACCCAGTACCCTGACCGGATCGATGCCCGGGTCGGATTTAACAACACTGCTATGAAGCATCAACACTTCGAAAATCATGACGTGCCGTGTCTGACACTTTCCGACACTCCAACACGCGTTGTAGAGACTCAAAAAAAGGTTCAAAGAGTGCATTGCGTTGCGTTTTTAGTTACAGCTATTAAATTCGTTGGATTACGATTACCATTTTATTGAATTTAATATAAATATTTGAGATATCTTATGTTTCTTTGCAAAATTGATAGCTATTATAAGTTTAGCTCCATTTTTTTTGTGAAATTATTGAATATTAAATATAATATACACTACATAAATTAAAAATATTATTTAATATCAAAACGTGTCCTAACATGTCAAAATCTAATATTTTTTAAAATTAACGTGTCAGAATGTCGTATCGGTGTCGTGTCCCGTATCTCATGTGAGTATCGGTGCTGCATACCTTGATTCCACTAATTTGTTAGCATGCCACTATTTCTAGTTTTACATGACAAATTAGAATTTACAAAGTCATCTGCATAGAGTATAATTAACAAGATTATACTCATATTTATTTACATTTAACATATTAACATGAATATATGTGAACATGGCAAAAGGTGGCCTTCACGTATATATATAAAGTATGAAATTTAGTGGAAGCATAGAGGAGGGCACGTTGATCTGTTTTATCAATTAAGCCTATGTTCCCCCAGTACTATCAATGAGCTATCAGCTATATATATCAAACTATCAAATGTCTCTTCAATTGGCAAGCATTGTCTCTGAACTCTTCCTAGTCCCTTCACCCCTTCAAGAAATGGCTGGCAGGTACTTCAGTATCCTTTCTCTCCTGCTTCTCCTAGTGGCTCTCCCTTATACAGAAGCAAGTGAAGATGTTCCAAAAACAACAAAGAAGAAAATAGAGGTGGTGGTAGAAGCTACGGTCTATTGTCAGAGCTGTGAGCACTTTGGAACCTGGTCTTTGATTGGAGCCAAGCCCATTCCTTCAGCCAAAGTAAGTGTCACCTGCAAAAGCTATACAGGTCATGTTAGTTACTTTAAGGTCTTTGATACAGACAAAAGTGGTTACCTTTATGCACCACTCGAAGGGTTCAAGATGCAGCATTATATACTTGATCATCCCCTCCATTCATGCTATGTGAAGCCTGTTTGGTCTCCTCTTGAAAGTTGCAACCTTCTCTCGAATGTTAATTATGGTCTGAATGGGGCTCCACTTCGTTATGACAACAAAATATTGCATGGAAGCAACTACGAGGCTGTTATATATGCTGCTGGCCCCTTGGCTTTCCGTCCTTCTGATTGCTCACAGACTCACTACTAGTGTCTCAAAACAATTTATCTTTACCTAAGTTGAGATTCGCTTGATCATGATTTTGTTGTTGCCAATAATTTGTGTTACATAAGTATTCAATCTGAAATTTGTTTCCTTTTTGGTATTTTTTTTGTGTTTAACTTAATTGCAATTGGGTAATTTAATCTTTTTTCAATGGGTTTTTTACTGTCCTAGCTTCGAGTTCCATAGGCACAGAAAGTATATAAAAGGCAGAAAATTTGTTAGAAAAAGAGCTATAGAAACCTCTCATTTGAATACCTAAAAAAATCAAAGACAATTCTGCTTACAAATTACAATCAGCTCTCAGCAATCACCTTTAAAAAGAAGAATAAGCCTGGTGCTATAAAGCTCCAGCTATGCAAAGGTCTAGAGAAGGTTGACCCATTGTGTAGTCTATAGTAGGCAGCGTTACCTTATACTTGCAAAAGACTGATTAAATGAATGTAACCATCACATGGCGACAACACCAACCATTGTGTCAATTTTCCACTTCACTCATCAATCACCTTGTTACTAAAAGTTCAGAGGCATATTAAACATCTTGTTTATGTCGTCCATGGCTTCCTTTGTGTGGAGAGTTGGCTCAAATAAATCAGATTCCTTTGACTTTGCTGGTAATTTTGGTTGTGGCAGACCCTGTTGCTGTTCCAGGTCATCATCAGCAAGGATTGAAAACCCACCAAATTCCTTTCTATTGTTACTCTCGGGTGCTTTCTCCTGCTTCATTGACCTTTTTCTCCTAACAAAATCCATTGGCTTCCCAAACATGTTATTTATGTCATTCATAGCTTCCTTCAAGTTGATTGTAGGGTCTACTAAACCGTGGTGGCAAACATTTTCCACCTCTGGTTCATCCAAAATGGTGGAACCGACAAATCTGCGAACGATTGTATCTTCTCTGAACTTTGAATTACGGGAGCTTTCTGCAACCACATCACTAGATTTTTCATAAGGAAGATCCTTGGGTCGGGGGAAAACAAAGCCATGTAGTTGTGAAGCTGATGATGAAGAACCTTCAGTCAAATTCACATTTATGACATTGGTCTCAGAACATCCTTCATCATCAATATATATCTGGAGCGGTTCTTGGCGAGGTTGGCTTGCTTCAGTCCTGTGCTGATGTGATAAGGAACCGCTTGGTTTGATTCCATTATCCATGTTTTCATCAACAAAAATTTCAAATTCGTTCTGTGTTCTACGATCTTCTTTTGAATGTTTTTTATGTGATTTCCTGGCTAACGGAACAGTCTCTAATGGCTCCCTGAACATGTTGTTAATGGCATTCATGGCCTCTTTCATATTTATTGTAGGATCCACCAATCCATGATGGCATGCATCTTCTGCTTCAGACTTCCCAACCATGGCAGTGTCAACAAACTTGACTACAACTGTATCATCAGCACGAAATCTTTTGCACTCATCGTTTTTAGTCTTTATGTGTCTATCATCATCAGCTACACCTTTACTTACAGAACTTGCAATTTGCGGTCTCATGTGCACACCCTCAACATTGCATGCTCCGTTGCTTCTCTCAGTCTTATTTTTAAGAGGAGGTCTCCTGGCAGCTCTCAGTTCCTGATGCTGTAGTAGATTCTTATAAATTAGCTAACTGAATATCACTATTCACTAACAAAGAGATGCCTAAAACATCACAGATGAACACATAATGGAAAAGCTAGTCACTACCTGGATTCTCTTATTATTCTTTCTCTCCATGCGTTGAAGAAATTGTTCATATGATTTCTGCAATTCATCCTCAGGCTCTGCAAGGCTGTTCAATAGTAGAGGTCATATAAACATGATTTTTGAGAATACCAATTAAAGTACTAAATAGTTATTTACTGTGTCAAATCTGCTGAATTGAAATTGTGAGAAAAGAAAAATTCATTGAAAATGATACATGCACCAAGCTTCAAGCATAGTCTAATGACAACGGTCCCCATTTCACTGAAAACCAGCATCAAACACTAGAATAAATTGAATGGGATGCCTGATCCAGTCAAAGATGAGTGTTTAAGCTGGATGGTAAAATATAGTGTCACATCTTCATCATATTTGAGAGGTAAAGGATAGGATAGAGGAGAGTTGTTTGTCTTGCCACTTGGCAGCCATCAAGGAACCATGTTAATGTTTGTTTGTGCAAAGTTCATTGCTAATTTACATACCCCTAATGTACTCAACACAAACAAGATGCTGATTACAGCAGAGAACTTACTTCTTCACTCCCAGATGGTACATTTTCTCTGCCTCATCATACCTCTTGCTCTTCTCGTAGTAAAGAGCATATGCTTGGTAAAATTGACTACGTTTTGTCCCAATATGATTAACCTCCATGGTTCTCAAAAGTGCTCTTGGATCATCCACAAAATCCATCTACCAATCAGAGCAGGAAATATCACTAACTATTTCATTATCCCTTTGTTTCAACTCAATCAAAAAAATTATTTTTCCTAAATCCAACAAAATAACACTAAAAAAAAATAAACTTTAACCATCATTTCCCCAACCCCATTTCTACAAATCACTTTACTGAAAAAAGGTGTTTAGGTTACCAAGTGGAGCCAAACACGAAGATAACGCATGTCGTTTCTGTAACGTCGATCGAGCTCGAACGTATGAGCGCATTTCTGTAAAAAACCAGGTAGATTTTCTTTAAGGGTTTGGGAAGGAAGAGTATCTTTCATCTTTCGTATACCCCTGCAACGTTGGGAATGAGTGAGTATAGAAACCTGAAGTTAAGAGAGAGAGAGAGAGAGAGAGAGAGAGAGAGAGATTGAGGTGTACCGGAGCCAAGGGAGAAGAGGATCTTTGCCGGTGTAGGTGTTGATGTCTGAGGTCAAGGAAGTTAAGAGTTCATCGACGTTCGCCATTTTGAAATTGGATCCTCGGCGGCGGCGGCGGCGGCGGCGGAGGAAGGGTTGGTAGTGGTGGCGGTGAACCTGATTTGAAATTTGAATTTGAGTCTGGGCGGTTAAGCGACGCTCTTTAGAATTGAGATTGAAGATTATTTTTTCTTGCGAAGGTAATGGGCTGGCCCATCTCCGGCTCGAATGTTATTGGGCCTAACTAGCTGGCCCGAGTGTTAACCCCAAAAGCAATCGGACTGGCCTGTGTTTGTTAACGTGATTCTTATGATAATTGATAAGTAATTAAAGTGAAATTATTTGCACATAAGTTATTATGCATATAAGTATTAAATATTTTAAAAATTAATATTTTAGGTTATTCTGCTTATTTTTTTTTCTGCCTACTTTATCTACCTCTCTCAATACCGTTAGATTACTATTTCATTCAACGGAGGAGATTTATAGGATAAAACAAATTCTTTTATCTCTTTCTTTCTCCAACTGCCTCCCACCTTCTCTCTCCTCCCATGCAATGATGAAGACGTCGCTTTTACAAATTGAACCCTAAAACTCTAATCTCTTTTGGAGAGTGAATACATGGCATCAGATTCAAACAAGAAAATTATTTAAAACAAGTTACTGCCAACTAGAGTCATTAATTATATCTTGTATAAACCTCGTTGCAAATTAACCAAAAAAATGCATACAAAAAATAAAATCTATGTTCTAATAAGACACAACAACACAAATCTTAAAAGTTTCAGGAGCATAAAAATCTGCAGATAAATTGTGATTCGCGAATTAAGACTCATCACATTGGTGAAGTGTCTGTGTGCTAGTGCTAACAAAAGAGAACACGAAGATTTCATCATGTCAACAACAATTGCAGACAGTTCATCGAGAATAGTGTCGCGAAAATAGAAAATGAAAATTAATCACAATTCAAATAAACACTATTTAAAAAGAAGTTAACCAATGTAGTCATCCCTGCAATGACGAAGACACTTTGACGTCTCTTTTACAAACTGAACTCTCAAACTCTGAATCACAGCTCCGAATCTCGTGACAACAAGCGAGATGACTACATTGGTTCACTTCTCTTTAAATTGCATTTATTTGAATTGTGATTAATTTTCATTTTCTATTTTTGCGATACTATTCTCAACGAACTATCTGCAATTGATGTTGGCATGACAAAATCTTCGTGTTCTCTTTTGTGAGCACTGGCACACGAACACTTCACTAATGTGATGAGCTTTAAGAGCCTTATTCGCAAATCACAATTTATCTTCAATTTTTAATGTTCCTAAAACTTTTGAGATTTGTGTTGTTGTGTCTTATTATAAATTTTTTTATTTTTTGTATGCATGCATTAATTTGCAATGGGTTTATAGAAGATATAATTAATCACTTTAGTTGGCAGTAACTTTTTAAATAATTTTCTTGTTTGAATCCGATGCCATATATTCACTCCCCAAAAGTTTTAGGGTTCAGTTTGTAAAAGTGACGTCTTCGTAAAAAAAAGGTAAAAGAATTGATTTTATTCTATAAATTATAATCTATAAATATTGAGAGATAAGTAAAATAAGCAGAAGAATCTATCCCGTGATTTAATAAGCATTAAACATGAGAGCAACATATTTTTTTTTGTTAATAGATTTAGTAATGGATTTAATGTTTTTAAAGTGAATGTAGATAAGTTATCTATATTCGTTCCCAAAACAAGATCGTTTTGAGTTAAAAAATTAAAAAATTACAATAAAAAAGACTATTATAATCCTGAAATAAATTATAATTACAAAAATATCTTGATTTCTACCTCAAAACGACGTCATTTTGAGCTCAATATAGATAAATTATCTCCAAAGCGAACCCTTCGTTAATTATTGATGCAATCTCTATGATAATTATCAACTGGAGAACATTGATTCGTTTTCCCACAAACACAGTAAAAGCTGGATCCACCAATTTTTTTATTTCTCATTTCTGATTCCTCTTTCTCACTCCTCCTTATTATATCTGCGGAGTTTTTTTCCCGTAACTAGAGGATATAAACCCCTAAATTGAAAAACAAAAAAGAAAAGCAAAACCTTATGCGTTGGTTTCGCTGACACACTCGGACAAGCAAACTGCCTCCGAATCCGATCAATGGAAAACTCAGAAGAAGGAAACGAAGAAGTTCCATTCCCTCCAAACCCTAACAATTCCAATGCCAATGCAGCTGAAGAAGAAGACGAAATCGACGAAGAAGAAGAAGAAGAAGACGAAGAAGAGGAAGTAGAAGAAGACGACGACGTCGTTTTGGAGGAACCGAATCTGCGATTGTCGAGGTTGAGGGAGCAGCGGTTCAAGCTGGAAACCCTGGGGCGGCGATTGTCGTCGGAGCTAGTCCCTATCCGAGTCCACGACGTGCTGATTCGTGGCAACACGCAGACGAAGGATTGGGTGATCGAGGCGGAGCTTAAGGTGATCGAGGATGCAACCAGCATGCAGGAGCTTCTTCGCGCCTCCGAAATCGCCCTCGCCAGGCTTCAGAGCCTTGGTATTTTCGATTCCAGCAAGGTCAGCCTGGAGGCGGGACCGCCGGAGTTGCCTCACACTGCCAATGTCATCGTCGACGTCGTCGAGGCCGCTAACAAAATCTCCGGTGAATTTGGCGTTTATACCAAACCCTCGGTACAATCTTATCCTCCATTGTTTTCCTATGTGATTTTGAGATTGCTCTAGATTCATTTAAACTGATAGATGCTAATGCTGGTATTATTTTAGGCATTGTGGAGAAATTTCTAATGTTGGTGGCATTTTAGGGATGAACATAATTACATGTGTGCAATATTGGAACTTGTTAGTTATTGGCAAAATCATTTCTGCTGCTGTGGCAGAAAAAATACACATATTTACCAGGCTACGACTTCGTATCCACTTCGAATCTTGGTAATTCTTTTTTTTATAAAAGGACCAATGGGACCCCTTTTTTGGTCTATGCGGCATATTTTTGCTCCATGCAGCAGCTGCAGAAAAACCGAACCTTAGTTATTAATAGTTTATACGAAAATGCTTTTCATCTTAGGTCTGAGGTCGTAGCTTTTCTTTTCAGATGCATATGTTGTAGTGCAAACAGCAAACCTGTAATCTTTAAAAGAAGAAGAAGAAGAAGCTTGTCTTCGAGGTAGTTAGACAATGATCATAAATTAAGTGGCTGTAAAATGTCTGCATTTTGAGGAAAAGGCGCTGTGGCTGATTATCACAGACTAGATGTTGGTCCAATATGATCATCCTTGGTCTGGGAATGGGAAGCTTTTTGCTTTACTGGTATTAGATATATATTGACCCGACTTTTACCAGATTGACTATTCTCTATGAAGGCATTAGATATATTTGACCCGCCTTTCCCAGATTATAGAATTAATTGTTTAAGGGAAGCAGACTTTTCTGCTTCACGGCCTCTTAATATTAGTGCTTTTGTATAGTTGCAGCAAAACAAACAAATATCTACTTTCGTTTTACTTCTTGGCTGTTGGTATTATGCTTAGGGATGAGCAGGAGTATTTTGGATGTTCTTTGCAGCCTATTTGGTTGGAAAATAATTTGAAAGGGTATACTTTATAGTGGATAAGTGGAAATTAGGAAGAGACTCCAAATTACTTTATTTGCTTGGAGCTCCATTTTGATTTTTCTTTCCATGACTGAACTCTATCTTGGCTTTAAATTTCTGCTACTTGTGTTAAGAAGAAAATTACGCGCCAATTATATATTGTTAGTTTGTTAGGATTTTTGAAACGTTAATAGGTTGGGACAAAGATATGATTTGTTGCCTGTTGATCAAATATTGAGGATTATCGTGTATGCATGGCTACGTTTTATGGCATATATGAATATCAGCTATAATCTTTTCCTTGTGATGGATTAGAAAATTTTCGTTTCAAGCCTTGTTTTATTGAAAGCTGTGTATTAATCTGCTGAGTATTTATTGGCTTTAATCTGCTTATATCTTTTCTTTTCTTTTTTTAAACCCATTTTGGAAATTTTGCAATGCTTTTGTAGACTAGTTCTTGGACTGCTGAAGGTGCTCTTAAGTACAAAAACTTGTTAGGTTATGGTGACCTATGGGATGCTTCTTTGGGCTATGGTGCCAACCAAGCTACAGAGGTGAGTGTAGGGGTTTATGCCCCTCGACTTAAAGGATTGTTAACTCCTCTTGTAGCACGACTATCCATGCTTTCCCAAGATTGGCAAGAGTTTTCTTCGTACAAAGAGCAATTGATGGGCTTGTCTCTTGGCTTAATCTCAACAAAGCACCATGATTTAGTATACACTCTTGGATGGCGTACCTTAACAGATCCATTGCAAATGTCATCCAGGTCTATTAGGAGACAACTTGGGCATGGTTTGCTATCATCATTGAAGCATACATTTAAAATTGACCGTAGAAACTCACCAATTAGGCCTACAGAAGGATATGCTTTTCTTTCTACCACTCATTTTGGCGGCCTTACTCCAGATCATCGGAGCTTGCGGTTTCTGCGCCAGGTGCAATTAAATCCTTTTCTTCTTCTTTAATTAATCTGCTGCAATGTAATTGTATGGGTCATGAATAAAACATGATAAACTTTATGTTAAGTGATAGCAGTATAATGATTGTTGAAATAATTTTGTAATTGGTAATTCAGAATTCATATTTTATGAACTTGGTTGTATATAATGTAATTTTGTCACGACCTGTCTATAAATGCTTTTGATTATTGTAAATATTGGGGGATAAAGACTATTGGCGTGTCTTTAAGGCATATTCATAACACACATGTATAAAAGTTGCTGCTGTAATAACCCTCGTGTGTCTTAATATTTCTTTTATTTTCTTTGTTCTTTTTTTAGATATATTTTTTCTTGACTAACTTGTTTGACTCTTTTAATGCAGGAGTTTGATGTTCGCTATGCTATCCCCTTTGGGTTTTATAATACAGCACTGAACCTTGGGATTTCTGCTGGTGCAGTTTTTCCATGGGGGCATGATTTCATGAACAAGCCATCTCCCCTTCCTGAAAGGTTTTATTTAGGTGGTGATTTCTCTCCAATTTGCACCCTAGGAGGGCCAATAACGTTGTGGGGATTCAAAACTAGGGGATTAGGTCCTACTGAACCTCGAAGGCAAAGCAGAGATGTAATTAATAATGACCATGATGATTCCTCTAAATGGGACTTCATTGGAGGAGATCTTGCTGTTACTGCTTTTGCAGACCTCTCTTTTGATTTCCCAGTTAGATGGTTGAGAGAACATGGAATCCATGGCCATGTTTTTGCTGGTGCTGGGAATATGGCTAAATTAACTCAGAATGGATATAAGCTCTTCTCTCCTCGAAATTTCTTAGAATCCTTTCGAACATCGGTGGGATGTGGATTTGTTATTCCTACTAGACTTTTCCGCCTAGAGGTTGGATTCTGTTTCAATTTCTTTATATTTAACTTAGCAGGAATTCAAATAACCTTTTTTTTTTTTCTGTTGGGGGGAAACATGGAGGACTTTGGTGTAGTTAGTGTTATTTGTTGTATTTGGACGTTAGATACTACGAAGGGAAGTAAAAGAAGTTATAGAACCTTTCAAGCTAGAAATCATGTTGCTTGTGTAATTTTCTTTCTTTTATTTTCCTTAAGATTAGGTTCTGAACTCAGCCCTTAATATTTGCTCCTAATATTATCTGCACCAAAATCTGATCCAAGGTTTGAATTTGTTGTGAAGCACCTGAATATAATTTTTTCTACTCTTTGAATTATGTACTAATATAATTTAGGGAAACAACCAGTTGTGATTTCAAGGTTGGATTTGTTTATCAGAAATATTCATCTCTTTTCTGATGTATCCCTCACCTGACCTCCCTCCTAATATGATTACTTCACTGATATACTTCTTATTGTTTCAGGGTAACTTCTCCTACGTACTCAGGCAGGATGAGCATGATCGTGGGAAAACAGGATTTCGGTTCAGCTTCTCAGCTCCTTCATAAAGGCTGAGTTCACAACTGATATTCTTTTTCATTTTATGTAGTTCTCAAGCATTAAACATCATTGCTGTCTGTCGCTGGATGGCTAGTACTATATTTTAATTTCCTTGTCGTTTACAATCCAGACTGAGAATCAAGAAAGGGCATTGTTTCACTGTTGGGGGATTTATAGGGTCAGTTTTTTGAGTAGGCATTACCCCTTGGGGGTCATAACATATAAGCCGATTCTTCTTGCATGGCAAAGGTGTATGAAATTCGAAATTCATGCACTCGTGTACTGCTACTTTAGAAGGCCTCGATTGGGACTGAGAATTGTCAAACATTGTTTGTTCATCTTAAATTGCAAATAACTCCCTAACATTGGTTGATATCATCCTTGTGGATATTTCTGCGTATTGTCTTCCAAATGGAAAAACAGCGAATCGGCTGTATTTGTTTATTTGATGTGTGGTTCGTGAAGCTTTTTGTAAGTATTAAGGTGTAAAAATTTGATTTTCTGTCGGTATTATTTATACTAATAACAAAAACATCCAAGCCACGTACCAAAGGCATCAGCAAGATCTGGATAATTGGTTCATGTTACTTATGTCATGGTGAAGCTAAACCCGAGCAGGTTCTGCAGGATCTGTTCTCATGGTGCAGATGAGGTAATATCTTTCGGTAGTTTCTTGTTATCCTGTGGAAAAGCCTGAAAAGGAAGACGTCGGATCACTCCCTAGATTTAAATATGTTGCTGAAATTTCCATCAAATGAAAGTAAACACGAAAGGGCTTTGGAGGGTAATAAATTCGAGATCAATAGCTTCCAGGAAGGGGAACCAGGAGTACCATGGATCTCACATTGTGAATGAGATAATGGTAACAAAGACTGGGTTTTCGTGTTCTAGTGATGCAAAATGTGGTCATCAATTAGTTCCAATTTTATTTTTGTATTGTCGTGTCTTAAAACACTTGTACGTAGCCAACAACCACCAATATAATTAAGCATATGGGATATCAGAAACATGAGGTCGTTATTTGAGTTTGATGGGGCTCTTTTACCAAAAAGTTATGATTGTTTGTTGCTTACCCAAGAAAAATCCGATTGTTGGTCATTATGCTACTTGTAAGTTGTAAGTCTTTAACAGCTTTGTTGGGTTCATCACATAAGCAAGCATTTGGAGGAAATCGTCCAAGTTATTACAGGTTTGTCTAACTCATGAGAAACTTATAATTTTTCTCTCTTGATAATGAGATAGAACTCCATTTAATCATGGAAACACGGATGTGCCACAAATGTCTTAGATCTGCGATGACCAGAAAATTTATAAATAAAATAAAATCGTTGACAACATATATAACTGAAAATGCTAATTATTTAGTTTATTGACCTTCGAGAAAAAAACATGCAAATAATAATCAAAAATCATAATAATTTAACTAGTAACGTATGGAAGCACGGTTTTACGACCATTTTGGGTTAGAAACCAGTATCCAGCTTGGGAAGGGTGCACAGCATCCCAAAACAGATATTTAGATGCATCAGGGCAAGTAGTGTCAAGCACATTGCAAATAGGACCCATCTCCAAGAGCCCAGTCCCACAGCATCCCTTGTGTGTTTGATGAAAACCTACAGAAATTTATAAGCAAAATCAACACATCGTTATATATTTATGAACAAACCCAATTATGACATTAAAGCACCAAACCATTGAAATGAAAGAAAAAAAAAAAAAAAGGAAAAAAAATTCAGTGAAATTTTATTACCATAACTGGCTGGATTTTGGACCATATCCAAGATGGGAGTATAGATATCGAAATAGCCAACCTTGGCACCCTTAAGAGTGGCGTGCAGTGACTGAATATGGGACTGAAGCTTGGTGTTGTAGCCTTGAGAATCTCTGTTCTGTTGGACATTACACACGCGCTGGAACCAGTTTTTTGCGGGTAAGATGCTGTTTAAGGTCACTAGTAGTGGCAGGCATCCCATAGGGGGAAGCCCTGCTACTATAATCCTGCGAGCTCCTGCTCCGTAGAGTCTCTGCAATCTCAACTTTTGGTTTCAATATCATACATGATAACATGATATTGGCTAAATTTTGAATCTAAAAATACTTCCAATAATACATAGTTTCTTATTAAAACTAAAAAAATACATGAAACTCACGTAACATTAAAAATAAAGAAATGAGTGAAAATGGGTGCCGCATAACGAACCGAGCCGAGTTTTAGTCTTAATAGGTTAAGTCTGTATTTAAACGTGTCAACAAGCCTATTACCACTCTCCAATAATTATCGGTCTGTGTTATGAATATAATTATCACTCTATGACCTGGCTTATTTACAAAAAATAAAAGTCTGTTTAAAAAAAAATAAGACAACAAAAATTTATTCAAATAGAATATACAATCAACAACACTGGTAATTACATAAATATTTATAAATTCAATGTATATATCCAAACAGCATAATATAGAACAAAATCATTTAAAAAGTCTGTTTAACCAATAAAATAGGTGAAATGCATTGAAGAAAGAGAAGAATATTCTCAATTAACATTTATTTTTCTCTCTCTTTTTGAGATTTTGATCTAACGGTATTGAAGAATGGTAGGCAAAGGTAGACAGAAAAATGGTAGGTAGAATAACCTATCCCAAAATATAAAATAAAAATTAATATACTAGACCAGCCTGAGAGGCTCTAAAGCCGGGCTTTTAAATTAGAGTTTTATGCCTTTTTAATTAAACGAGCTTTTATACAAGTCCAAGCCTGGTTCTAACAATCAATTTTAGACATATAAGCTCAAGCCTTCACGAGCCGAGCCAAAGACCCCTGATTCGTTTACCACCTCTAGTGCTGCACTATATACGTACTTAGTACTACATAATATTAAAAAATTATTTCAATTATAGATGTATTAATTTACATATGTGATATATTTAAAGGTTTATTGTTTCTGATGTTGTAAGAAATAATTTTATTTTTTACATGCACAAAAAAGTATATAGGACCCATGTTATTTTTTTCTCTTCACATGGGCCCCACACACTGTTACATGTGTGTAAAAGATAATTTTATCTCCTACAACATGAGAAACATTAGATCCTATATTTAATCATAATTTTGTACTGCCTACCAATCTACCACAAAAATAAAAAAATAAAAGTAAGGGGCTCTAATGTAAAAATACCTAAAAGGGAAGATGTATACAATATGTAACAAAAATACTACAAACCTGAACGAAAGATAGAAGATTTTGGAGTAGAAAATCTTGGTAACGTGAAACATTACCATACTGTGACAACCTCACTGGTAAAAAATATGCATTGTACAACATGTCATTAGTCCCAATGCTAATGATAAACAAAGCATTTTCAATTATATCTCTACTCTTTTCTTCTCCAACTGATTTTCTTATCCTCTGCATAGCCTCCTCAAACATCTCAAATTGTGTGGCCAAGTCCAAAACTTTGGTGATGCCTATAGTCTTGTTATCCAAGCCAGAACCTCCAGAACCAAAAGTAACCCCAGTGAGCAAATCGTGATCTGTCACTTTTGAATTTAGATAAGCAGGTAATAGATCCTTAAGGCCTAGAATGTGAACAAGGTAATCTGTTGATAGTTTCCCATTTGAGAATCTCCCAGTTGGGACATGGTTAGGAAGGTCACGACCATAGGGTAAGTGGTCACCACGAAAGGGAGTGTTGAAGTGGTTGTTGTTGCCAGCATCCATGGTGGAGTCCCCAAAGGCAAAGAGAGCAGACACATTGTAAGAGGCAAAGGTTGAGAATGGTAGAGAAATGAAGAAGGTAAAATAGAGGAGTGTGATGAATGAGGTGTTTGTTATGGAAGTCATAACTATGAGGTGTAGGTTTTTGCTTGAAAAATTGTGGTGTAGTATATGCTTTATATATATAGTTTGGGAAGTTTGAAAAGATTCATATAAGCTTTAGCCAAGTGGTTGGATTTGTTTTGGATTCATGTCTCTTTTAAGAAAACCAATGAAGGTTGTCCATTTTGATTGGGAATTGTTGATGATATATTCTCTCCTAGCTATTGACCTCTATGGTGCGTGCAAGTTACAGAATTCAAATTTGGCAGGTCTGGTTATTCTAGCGAAAAAAAAAAGTAAACAAATTTTAACTTTTAAAAAGGCACATAGAGTTAAGCTGATTGACCATCATAGTTTTTTTTTTTTTTTTAAATAAAAATAAAAAGTACCAATATGGGATGGTTACGTGTATAAGACGCTATTTCTTTAAAAAAAAAATTTAAGAAAACTCTCACTTAAGCAGGTAAATGATAGGTCTTCAATGATTTTTATATCTCTTTAATATTCTTTCACGCAAGAGTCATTTGAACTTGAAGCGTGAATATTATACATGTTCTTTTTTTTTTTTTCTGTTTTACCTTGTGCTTTTAATTTCATTAATTAGAAAATGAGAGCCGTGAGAATCGACACCACTTAAATATCATGTAAAGAATTATTTTAACCTAAAAACATAAGCTGATAAGTGATGAACTTTCAATGGTTCTATATTATATCTCTCTGACATTGCAACTCATCATTATCAATTTAATCGTTAATTTGAATGCTCAACCATGAACTTGTAACAAAGACGTATATGGTGATTCATCTGCAACTGCGAGCATAAATGTAATGTCAGATATGTAAGAATTTTCTAAGAACAAAATCAAAATACCAATCAAAGCATATATGATAGATAAAATATCATAGTCATACCAATATTTGGGAGATAAAATACTTGATTGGACCATCTCTTCTGTTAAATGGAGTGAACCCTGATTTGCATGTGCTAGAGTATTTCTCTCAATGACATATATCCCATATGGTAGCCTTTGTGCGACCAGAGCATGGCAATTTATAGAATTTTATCTATCATATATATTCTAGTGAGGGGACTTAACATAATCTTAATCAACAGTATATATATTTGCTTAACTCATCTATCACACACCAATACCTACACAATGTTGTCCAACTACTCTCAGAACCAATAGGTAACTAAAGCATAAATCGTCATGATCACAATGGAAAAAGGTGGCAAAACCGATTGAATCCGACGAATCAACCCGCTAACTCGTCAAAACAGTACGGGTAGGGTTACATGCATGTATCAATCCATCAACCCGCCCCATTTGTAAGCAAGTTAAAACAGATTAATGACGGTTTGGGACAAGTTGACCCCATGTTAATTTTTTTTAATTTAAAAATATAAAAAATATATTATGTAATTAAACACATCTAATCCTTTCCTGCTTTCTTCTCGTTCTTTCAGATTCTCTTTCTAAAACTACCTTCCCAGGATGTTACTTGTTAGTTCTCCTCTTGTGATCTTCGAACATATCTCCGTTAACAAACTTCTTTCCTTTTCTGTTACCTCCAACTGAATATTCTCTCTTTCTGTTTGCTGTCCCTGAGGTCTGTCATCAAAGGCATGCAAGGCAACACCACCTTCTTCCTTTCTTTATTTCATCTATAATTTTTATTTTATACTTGATTAGTAAATAAAGCTTAAAATATCTTAAGCTTGAAATATTTGAAGCTGCTTTTGAAAGAGAGATTCAGTCGCTGTGTACACTACAAATAAAAATAAAAATAAAAAAAATAAAAAAATCTCTATGAAAGAACCATTTTGATCATTTTCAGAAAATAGATGAGAGCATTGGTTCAATTATTCTCAATTATCTTTTTTCCTTTTTTTTAATATATTATTGGTGGGCTAATCCGTCAACTCACTTTAAAATGAGATGGATTGATATTTTCAACCCCTCATCCAATGATATTAATATCTAAATGTAGGGTTAAATAAACATTTAATTTGTTAGAATATTTAGTGTGCATTTAGGTTATATTTTGTAAATTTAATTTTCCTTCAACTTAATTTTAGGAATTTGATTTTGTTAAAAAGTAAGTTTGTAACATATTAAAAAATTATTTAAATAAAATTTATGTTGTTTAGGGGCTCTTTCGTTTGTATATTTTAATTAGAAATATGCTTTAAAATTTTATAGTTATTAGAATAAAAAATTTATTTTAATATTTTTTTGAGAAATTAAAATGATAGCTTTTTTTATAAAAAAGACGTATCATAAAAATAACTTTTAAAAATTTTTAAACAAACGGGTTCTAATTTTATTGATAACATTCACTTTCAAATATATACTTATCAGTAAAAGTATATATGTAAATATTGTTAAAGTAATAATATAAAATTAAATTATAAAAGTATTCTTACAATACGGGCAAAAAAATTAAAATATTATTATTTTAATAAATAATTACGGATAGGTGACAATTTGGATACTATTTTCGAATCTGTAACATTTACTCACGTCCAAAAAGGGCAGGACAATTCACGCCCAAGTTAGACGTGAATGATTCATGCCCAAAATAGGAGTGACAATTCACGCCTAGGCCAGGCATGAATGCCTTGGCCTATAAACCCCCCCCCCCCCCCCCCCCCCCATTTCACTTTTCCACCTCACACCTTCTCTCTAAAGTTGGCCTGACTTCTCTCTAGATTATTTGTGAAGCATTTTGCGCGGCGAAGCCCTGTCGAACAAGTAAGTCTTCATATCTGCTTTATCATTTTTTTAAATATAATATTATACATGTTATAATAGTATTTAGAGTGTTGCACATATAACTGTTATTATAGTGATCTAGGAATATGTTAAAGTAGTGTCATAAACCCTAGGAATATATTAGTGACTTAGGAATATATTAGTGACCTAGAAATATTGTACACATGTAATTTAATATTTTTTTGTAACACATGTAATTTAATATTTTTTGTAACACATGTAATTTAATTTTTTTTGTAGCACATGTAATTAACTTAATGACTTTTTAATATATTAAGGAAACCAATTAATTTGTTATTGTGTATAGTACAGTATTATGGCTGACTCGTCATCGTCCGAGTCACCTCGGTCTACGTCTGATACTTGTCACCTCGGTCTACATATGCACAACATCGTCACCTGCATGTAGGAAATTAAACAAATTTACAAAAAGCGACTATCATAAACGCATATTTTCATTGTTTACTGGCATACCTTCTGAAATTGGCGATAACTGAGTGGACGCGACGTCGTGATGTTCCTGGACATGAGACTCCCCCACGACATTATATTCCAGGATTTGAGTTTCAAGAATACCACATTCATCATCGTTGTCTGAAGCACTAGCATCCTCAACAAGAAGTTGATCTTCCGTGGCAATATTTTCATCATCGTCATCATCACCATCATCTTCCATAACCCAGGTAGGGTCATTTTCTCCTTCGACAGACAGATTAACAACTGGAGCAGCAGATGATGATGCATTATGTGCAAAATCTAAATCAACTGACCTTATGGGTAAAGCAACATCCTCTGCTTCGGCAATATCCGCGTATAACTCCAAAAAATCTTTCCTTGACTGGTTGAAAAACTCTCCGATTACAATTTCTACGTCTTCATCGTCAACAACTTGCATACTAATGTATTGTGATTCTCACGATATTCTTGCTGTGACCATATTGATAGATTGCTTACCTTCAAGCGCTAATTTTTGACGAATTTTTTGATGTAGTTCGCTAACTGTTGAGTTCCGCATGATACGAGTTGGCCTTTTCTCGCCTTCAAAAATGACACTACGTCGACCTTCGATTTCCTACCATTATAACATAAAACAACACGAACAAAATCAAAATGTAAACTCATTCTTAACTATATTAATAAAAAACACAAAACAGAGTATGCATAAGCAAGTGAGACTGTATCGAAGACTAAGAAGTTAAGATGTAGAAGAGTTGTGATGAATGTGGAGATGATAGGTATTTATATAAGGAAATTTGAAGCCATTCACGCCTAGAATGGGCAGGAGAGTGGGTTGAGTCACGCCCAGATGGGACTGAAAAATACAGTGATTCACGCCTGTATGGGGCGTGATTAGTCACGCACGTCATTCACGCCTCATTTGGACGTGAATTGTCCTGCTTTTTTGGACGTGAATGAATGCTACATATTCGAAAATAGTTTTCAAACTGTCATATATCCGTAATTATTTATTAAAATAATAATATTTTAATTTTTTTTCCTACCAATACGCATCTAATTGAATTTTTCTTCACTGCAAAATAATAAAATGTTAGTTTTACAGTTACCCAACAAAATCATAATTTTGATGCAAAATAATTTTATTCTTAAATTATCAAATATTTTGGCACAAAATTCTAATTAATTTCACATTATCAAACGTAATTCTATAGATTCCAAACAATTTTCCAAACATGATATTAACAAATTTTAATTTATTTTTTTGGTAAAATGATATTAACAAATTTTAGGTTTGTGCATACATGATAGTATTGCTTATTTGAAATTCTATCTATTGTTGTATACGGTAACGATGAACATCACGAATTTTTCTTTATTTCGCATTATTTAGTAAGAGATGTGAACCAAATGTTTTTTGTTTTTTCTTTAAAAACTGTGGTGGACTCACATTAAATTTTGTCAGCAAAAAAGGTTAGTTGTGTGAGGAAAGTAACGCTGACACAAAAATTGATTTTTTCCCTTATATTATTATATATATCGCTTCAAATCCTGACTAAAATGTGAGTCATCAATACTTCTGTTTAGTGGAAGCTACAATCATATGTTTTTTTTTTTTTTTTTTTTTGAGTTACCCAACCCTAATTATCTCTTTGAGCCGGCTATGAGACTAATCCAGAGTGCGGGGGAACAGTGATGGGTAAAGGTTCAGCCCCCTCCCCAAGAATGCATTCAGTGGGAATCGAACACATATCCAACCCCACTAACTCAGCGCCAAGTTACCAACTGAGCTGGTACAATCATATGTTACTTCTTGTGAAAATCTTTTACAACTAATAAATTTACCGAGAATCGACACTATTATATTTCATTAGAAACTTGAAGACATTATTATGTGTACTTTTACTTTATATAATCTTCACTTTCATATATTATTTTTCACAATTTTATCTCTATTTTCACTTCAGTTTCTAACATTTTTCTCATTGCTTGGTCTGTTGTGAATAATTGTAGACTTTGAGTTCCAAGAGATTACACTATAACTTCAATCCCCGTATTTTTATTTTTATTTTGGTATCTCAAACCCCGTATTTAATTACTTTGTAGTTTGTAATTTTGCCTTGTAAGAGTTTTTTAAAGAGTACATCTCTTGGACCACCAAGTCAGCTCGTTTAAATCACCAAAAATTAAAACTAACAACTTATCCAATATAATTATGAGTACTAATATATTCTTTTTATGACAATTTAACCTTAAAATTTTTATTTATAACTTTTTCCTGAATTTCATTAAAGAAATCCATACAACGAGTGCATTTTCAATGTTCATGGAATAGGTACTTTCTTTTCTAAAAAAAAAATATATGAAAAGAAATAACCATAAAAATAGAGATAATATAAATGTGTTATTTTTTTCATATTTAATAAAAGAGGTACCGAGTGTATATACTTAGAGCCTATTTGGATATTCTCTTTTTTTAAACTAGAAGCTACTTTTAAGTTGATGTTAAAAAAATACTTTAAAAAAGCTAACAATTTAACTTAAAAACATGCATTTTAAGAAAAGTCCTTTTCTCTATCTTCATGGCTAAGGTTGTAAATATGTTAGACTAGACTAGACTTTGACTTAAATAGGTCAGACCTGTGAAAAAAAGTTGGACATGGCTTAGCCTATTAGCCTGTATAGGCCTCAAATTACAGGTCTAGTCTGACCTATATTTAAAAAATAGAAGCCTTGGTCTAGGCCTGTTAGCCTGTTTAAGCCTATTAAACATTCAACAATTAAAAGAATAACTAAAATAATATTATTTGATTATTCAAAATTATTAAAATAATACTTTTATTTATTATATTTTAAATAAATAATATGATATAGGCCGACCTGTAAGCTTATAGGTCCGACATGTAAAAAAAAGTCTATGATCTATTTTCTAAATAGGTTTTTTAAAAGCTTAGGTCTACTCTATTTTACTATTTATATAGGCTAAATCTGACCTAATATAGGCTAGGCCGTAGGCCGTAGACCTCTGTAGGCCGGCCTAGCCCATTTATATCCCTATTTATGACTCTTTGTTTAAAAAAAAGTACACAATTTAAAAAAAATTAATAAGAGCTTAAAAATAAATTTCTTTTAAGTAACTTTTGACTTTAGCCTTTTTTCAGAAAACTTATAATTATAATTTTTTTTTATTATAAGAACTTTTTTTCAAAATTTATTTCGTCTATCTTCTTCTTAAAGAAAATTCAAACCGACACTTATTACCGAAAATATTTTCCCATTAAACACAATTTTAATGTGGACATTCTCAGAAATATAAAATGGAAAGAACATGCATAATACATGTGAAATTCGAGTAGCCAATCCCAGAAGGAAGAAGGGGATAGGGCCAACTTGCGAATATGCTTCTTAACACCACAAGCGAAGCGAATCATGGACGGTAAAGAAACACTACCTTCTCCTCCTCCTTCTTCTAAAACCCTTCATTGGTATATGCTATAAGCATCTTTTGCTGATACCTTCCAAACTTCAAATTCCTTTTTATTTATTTATTTATCCATTATTGCATTTTCACATCCACATCAAACAAATGTTAGCTTAGCTTCCAACTCATAACAGAGAACACAACCTAACCTCTCCATTCTATTCGATTCAACCAAACTATGGTTCACTCTTCAACTTCTCTCATTCACCATAACACTCGCTTCCTCTTCTCCTTTCGTTCCAAAGCTTCATATTCACACTCACACTCACACAACTTCACAAAACACCTATCTCCTTCTTCTTCTTCTCCTTTTCCTTCATCTCTATCATCATGTTGCCGCGTCGCGCGAGTCTCCACGGAGGCCTTGGAGTTATCGTCGACTCCTCCGCCCGGATTCAACTTCCGCCGCGAAATCGCGACGCTCGGCGCTCTCCGGGAAAAGCTCGCCGGCTGCGACACTCTCGAGGAGAAGCTACGAGTGATCGACGCCGATTCCAGAGTTAGGCGGTTTTTCGGTTCCCGCCAACGGAATGCTTGGTTTTCTAGGGTTTGTGATGCTCTCCAATTGGACTCTGAAGACTTGTTCTTGCTCAAGTGCTTGGTTGCTGCGGGGCAAGAGCACGTGCTGTGTTTGGGCGAAGCTGAATCGTTGGATTCGTCTGCGAATTCAAGCTCCGTGAAGAGCGCGCTTTATGCTCTGGCGGAGATGATCGAGAATTTGGATTCGCATAGCGTCAATGCCAGTGCTGGTTTTGGGAAGACAGGGATGGCTTTGGAGGATCATGAGATTCAGGACTTGAACAAGTTATTAGAGACTTTGGCTGAAATTGAGCGTTTCTATGACTGCGTTGGAGGAATTATTGGGTCAGTTCTTCACTTTCTACTTTTAGCATTCACTGTGTTTAGATGTTTTTCCATTAATGAATGGAACGGAACGGAACGGAACCAGTGGGAGTGGACAAGTAATGGAAGAAAACACAATGAAATAAAATTAACTTAACTTCCTTTCTTTAGAAGATTAATAAGGGAACATAACGGAATTCTATTACCTTGTCTCAGAGTTACATTATAAAAGAACGGAATGGAAATACTATAATTCTTAATTCCATTAAAAATTTTAGTTCCCGCGTTCCTCTCCAATTTTGTGGGAACAAAAATCGGGTTTATATAGGAAAGAGAGTGAGAATAAATCTCCTTTTTTTCTTTTTATAAACTCCTAAACAAGCAAACTTGTTCTCATTCCCTTCATTAACCTGTCATCTGAACACAGCGAAGTCTTCTTATTAAATCCTGAACTCTTTTATCCTTCGGAAAGTATACAATGTTTCAGGAAGAATTTGTATAGCTTCTTTGATCCTTTTTCTTTTTCTTGGTAAAAACCAGGTTTAATAGGGGGGGAATGTAGTTGAGGAATAAGTTATCAATATGCATCTCTGCTCATTTGGTTGCTCAAATTGTACACTGCAGATATCAAATAACAATACTGGAACTTCTTGCCGAAAATTTTTTTGAGAGTCAGAATGTAAACTTGTCTCAGCACATGCATGAAGTGAAACAATGCCAAATTATGGGAATCGATCCACCTAATGGGCTTGACCTTTCTGAAAGTACAGAGTATGCATCTCAAGCCGCTCTATGGGGTATAGAGGTTAGTCAAATTACATTACCTGGTTCATAATTTACATTAGCCAGAGATGCTTCATAGATACCTGGAATAATAAGATCTTGACCTTCTAGGGTTTGCCAGACCTAGGTGAAATTTATCCTCTGGGAGGCTCTGCAGACAGGCTTGGTTTAGTTGATCCTAGCACAGGTGAATGCTTGCCTGCTGCAATGCTACCATATTGTGGAAGGACTTTATTGGAAGGTCTTATAAGAGATCTTCAGGTATTAGATTTCAAATTATCAAACACAGAATCATACTTCATATGTTTATTGCTTGATAATAAAAATAAGACAAGATTAGTCATTTTTGCTGGATCTAAAATATCTAATTCTGCTGTTTTACATTGTAAGGCTAGAGAATTCTTGTACTTCAAGTTATATGGGAAACAATGTATCACTCCTGTTGCAATAATGACAAGTTCCGCAAAGAACAACCACGAACACATCACTTCTCTGTGCGAAAGACTTTCATGGTTTGGAAGAGGTCGATCAACTTTCCAACTTTTTGAGCAGGTTTTATGTAAATCTATGCCGTTGCTTCTCAGAAGGGATAATCTTACTTTGACAATCTCTAAATATCTAATTTGTGAATTGGCAGCCTCTTGTTCCAGTTGTTGGTGCAGAAGATGGGCAATGGTTGGTTACCAAACCATTCAGTCCCTTGAGCAAGCCCGGTGGTCATGGTGTCATTTGGAAACTTGCTCATGACAAAGGCATCTTCAAATGGTTTTATTTGCAAGGAAGAAAAGGTGCAACTGTGCGCCAAGTCAGGTCTGTTGTTATGTTTGATATCTCGAGTGTTTGCTTTTTTCAGTTTTCTAGTAGAGAAACTTGATTTCACAGCTCACTGATGCTGGTGACCTTACAGTAACGTTGTGGCAGCTACAGATTTAACCCTCCTGGCCTTAGCAGGGATTGGTCTACGTCAAGGAAAGGTAGGATTAGGTTGTTTTAATTGATCATGTCATTCTTTTCTGTCACTATGTTGATAGGGATGAAATTATGTTTTAATAAATGGGTAAGTAATGTCTTGTCATCCTTAGTTGTAATTTCTTACCTTGTATCCTATAAAATTCCTTATGTTTAAGATTTGGGTAAATCAACAAATTACAGAACTTTGGTGAGTAATATTCCCTGAAAGAAGTTATATACCACAGTCAATCTATTAATTCTTTAAATACATTGTTTGCATGTTGCATTGCCCTGATTTAATAGTTTCTCATGCCTGAAGAACTTTAAGAGAAAAAAGAAGAAGAAGCAAACTTCTGTAATATTTATTGAACAAAACAGTCTAAAATTGCGTAAGATTGACTGCACTTCTTAACTGTACATTTTTAACAGAAATTGGGGTTTGCATCCTGTAAGCGGAACTCAGGTGCCACGGAAGGAATTAATGTGCTGATGGAGAAGAAAAGTCTTGATGGGAACTGGGAATATGGTGTATCTTGCATTGAATACACTGAGTTTGACAAGTTCGGAATTACTGAAAAACCTCTTGCTACAAAAAGGTAGATGACTGATTTCAATATTTCATCCATCTTATAAAATGTGATTTACCTCATCATCTAGACTGACTTAATATGGTCAAATTTGGTTCCCAGATTCAGTGATATATTGCGTAGCTTCAAATTATGTGCAATGCTTAAGCTATAGTACCCTTCTAGCGCGACACACTATTACAAATGGATAACTTTGATGATGAAGAATGCAATATCCCCAAACTCGTGTTGATTTGAGAATGGCATGCATCTTATAAACCTGCATGTGGGAACAGTTACAAGCTCAAGTGCAGCAGGACCGTGTATATATTGTTAAAATAAATGCATTTGATATCATGGGATTCTTTTCTTCAGGAGATTATCACTGTTGCACAGTCATATGTAGTCATGCACCAGTGATAGGTTCGTAGGTCATGATAACTAACAATTGGATTAAAAAAAACCCAATCACACGTCCTGAGAAATATGACATGCCTGGTTGGAGCCTTTGTTTGTGTTCTTCTACTCTTATATGTTGAAGATGGAGACTTGTTTTTGTTTTGCTCAATTGCATGTCAGTTGATTTGTTGTTGTAGGTTTCAATTTATTATATCAGAAATGTTTATTCTGTCTGTATTTTTAGGCTTTCTAATTTGGAATCTATAACCCAAATATCAACTTTATTTTCTGTAATCAAGTTTGCAGGCAGATTTCCCAGCCAATACAAACATCTTATATGTTGATTTACCTTCTGCGGAGCTAGTTGGATCAAGTAGAAATGAAAATAGTTTACCAGGAATGGTGATAAATACAAGAAAGCCAATAGTTTATGTAGATCAGTTTGGAAGACGCCATAGGTATGTGTTTTCCCTATGAATTTGTCAACACAATATTATAAAAAAAAATTATTTAAAAAATTTCTTTATTTAAGTGATTGAATTGGCATTAACTGAATCATTTATATTTTCTCTAAAATAACTTTTTTTTTGTTTCAAAATTTCTTCCAAAGCAGTAGCTACCGAAGCACTTCATAATCTTCCATCTTTATAAGACAATAATTTATATATATCTGTTCTAAGAGAAATAGAAAATTTTGTTTTTGGATAAATAACAACCACAAATTGAAATTGATGGGTTTCCTTTCCTGGATTAAAAATAAAATCCATCCTTATTTTCTTCAGTGATTATCTGCTATAATGTTCATTATGTATTAGTATTAATAAGGGTAGATTTACAGTTTCTTCCTTTTTTCTGTATAGCTCATAGTTTCTCCAAGTTACCTTTTCCTGTGAATGAAATGTTATCACTCTCTTTGTATTGCTGATTCTTGTATTGCATATATTATTTACTCATCCCTTTTTATTTGTGATTTACTAGTGTCTCTGGTGGCAGACTAGAGTGCACGATGCAAAATATAGCAGACAATTATTCCAATACATATTCATCTAGGTGTTATAATGGTGTGGAAGGTATATCTTATATGTATTTGTTTGATCTGATGAAACATTTACCTTTCCCTTTCACATTTAATTGAGTTAACGAGATCCTTATATATTTGGGAGCAGATAAGCTAGATACATTTATTGTGTATAATGAACGAAGAAGGGTTACCTCATCTGCTAAGAAAAAAAGAAGACATGGAGACAAGTCTTTACACCAGGTTTGATTTGCTGATCATGTGTGAAGTATATATTTTATGTCTAGATTCGGACCGTTAAACACTGAGGACACATGTAATCTTCTATTGTGTTGAATTGATTTCAAGCTCCATACAGTTCTTGTACTCTTATATCTCGTCCTTTTAGCTTCTTGTTCGTGGGTTTGCACTTAATATTCCCAAGATATTTGGAAAGTACTCGCTTAGTAGGTAGTACCATCTGAGTTTCCTACTGATGTGTTCTAGAGCAACGGTGAAAGTCAGAGAACCACACTAGATGTTATTTGAAGTATCAGCTTATTTTTAAATTCTTCAAACATTTACCAAGACAAAACCCACGATTTATGTCTTGAACTTGTCAATGATAGTTGCTCTTAAATGTCTCTTATGGTTTGCATTTATATGCAGACACCCGATGGCTCTCTGTTGGATATCTTACGAAATGCTCATGATCTTCTGTCACGATGTGATATACGTCTTCCTGAGGTATTTATGTATACTATTATGTGTTGTATGCATAAATTGATTAGTTTTCGTTTCGTTGGGTATAATTCCAGATTATATTATGCTATTGCTAAACCTTTTTTTTTTTTACTGTAAGTTCATTTGATAATGCATGTAAGCTTGTAACAGTTGGATAATTATCTTTTCTAGTTACATTCAGTTATTTTATGTTGTGTTTTCTATCTGCTGCAGATTGAAGCTAATGAGCACTATGTTGATTCGGGACCACCATTTCTCATCCTTCTGCATCCTGCTCTTGGACCTCTTTGGGAAGTCACAAGACAAAAGGTAACACTTTATATTATGTTATTTTTCAATGGTCATTTATCAATAATTTTGTCATTTTCACATTCTATTGTTTGTCTAAATATTACATGTAGTGAGTTTAATTGAGTTCTATCAGTGAATGGGTTACACGTGTTCTAAACAGGTTGAGTTCATGTTTTATCCATAAATGGGTCAAATAAAGTATCCACGATTCGCATTCTGGCATATTTGTCTTGTTTATGAAAAGGTGCCTGACATGATTAATTAAATAGGTCGTGTTTCTCACGTTGAGTCCAGTCTCCACCCATGTGGCGTTGTAACACACATGAATGACATGATTCACATGAACGTAACTCTTTTACACAAAGTTCCCTTCCTACTGTTTGGATGTAGTCATGGAGTCCTTTCTTTAATACTATTTACTTAAAACATGATAGTTCTACAACTTTACGATAGAGAATTGTGTCGATCTTTCAGTGAAGGGAAAATAGTATATAAGCACAATGTATTGATTTTTATTTTATTTTTTTAAAATTGGCATGATAACCTTTCAATTGGGACTTTCAGTCTTTCACTAATCGATTCCTCGGTGTTGTCGTTAACTCACTACCGGACTTATAATGCGCGAAATCCTAAGCTTTCATTTGTATAATATTTATAACATGCATTAAATTATTCTGTAAAATCGTTATTTCATATATACTTCAATTAATAAACAAATAAATAAATCAATCTGGAATAATTATATAATTATATAAGATATATATAATAATTTAATTAAAATATATAAGCTTACCAAAAAAAAAATTAAAATATATAATAATTCAGTTAATCAAAATATTGAATTATTTTTTATTTTAACCTTTTTTAATTTTATTATTTTATTTGATTTATTAAGTTATTATTAAAAATAATAGTAATAATAATATTTATAATATATCATTTATTATTTATATAAAATTGGTTATTTATTTAATTTATGATTTATACTATCTATTTGTTAGTATTAATACCAATATTTATTAACTATATATATTAATCAATATGAATAAATGATAAAACAAAAAAAATTAAATAAGATCAGACCCCAAAAATCGTAATTATTAAAATCAGTACTAGAATAAAAATATTCAGATAAATATTAATTTATATTTTAATTATTAAAGTTATTACGTAATTTATTATTATTTGTTATATTATAAATTTTCCAGATTTTATTTATTTATTTTCTAAAGACTAGAATACATATGAAATAAGGATTTTAATGTATAATTTAATGAACGGTGCAGATACTACAGAAATGAAAGGTTGGTGACTTAAAGGCAATAAACTAGATGAAAGAATTCGATTGGTCGAATAGTCATGGCTTAGGGACAAAGTAGGAAGATTTTAAAGTTCATAATGTCGATTTGCAAAAGGATTAAAGTTCATGGTGATTATATACTCTTTTCCCTTTATTGAAACAAAGGATTCAACTTATTTTGAAATTCTTTCTTGTAATCAGTTTTATGGTGGTTCCATATCGGAGGGCTCTGAGTTACAAATAGAGGTTGCAGAGTTCTTTTGGAGGAATGTTCAGGTTCTACTTCTCAAATAGATTTTGTAAACTTATATGGCATGGAGTTGCTAAGATAGTGAGCTGATATTTGTCCCTTTATTCCAGCTCAATGGAAGCTTGATCATAATAGCTGAAAATGTTATGGGCTCAATGAAGACTAATGAGAATGGTGAATCCATACTACATTATGGGCAAAGGTACTATGCTGCCTGTATCAATAAGAACTGTCGTGATCCTGTATCCCCCTTATCTTACCTCCAAATTCAGGCCTTTTGGCATAAATTTATTCTAGATTGCAAGCATAAAACATTTTTAAGCACATTTATCATGTTATCTTGCTAGGTGTGGAAGATGTAAATTGCAGAATGTCAAGGTGTTAAACAAGGGAATTGATTGGAAGTATGGTGGGAACATATACTGGAAACATGATGTGCAGCGGTCTGAGATGTTGCAGATCATACTGCATGGGAATGCTGAATTTGAGGCTACTGATGTTGTCTTACAGGTTAAGTTTAAATTTGGATTTTATTTTGTCTCTCTAAAAATTTAGTTGCAAGTATTGCATACTATACCACCTTTTTTTTGGTTTTGAGCTTAAGATACCTCGGTCCATGTAAGAGATTTGTACTTGGACACAGTTAGAGATGTAATATAAAATTGTTCACCTGTTGTTACCTATCAGTTTAAATTTTCAGATAATTGATTCGTGACAGACCCAAACCCATTTGTAGTTGGTATAAGATAGGGGTGCATGGTAAGATGGACGTCCTGGCATTGCTTAACACAGTAGATTTATTCCCTTCATGGACCCCCCCCCCCCAACGCCATCCACTGCTAAAACATTATTATCTTTTAATCATTGAACACTTTCTTTTCTATGTTCTGACTTAAAAATTCCCTTTAAGTTCTTCAAAGGTTGCTGTTTTTTAAACCATCAAACTGACCAGTAGTCATTTGTTATAGAATCTTGAAAAGCAGCAGAGTCTCATAACAAAGATGTTAATCGCTCTTTTAATTATGTAGCCTAAAAAATAAAATAAATCTATTGGTTAATTCTGGTGGATATTTCATACATATAAACTAACGACTAACAAGCTTATTTTTGCTATTGTTTAACTGATGCAGGGAAACCACGTATTTGAAGTTCCAGATGGCTACAAACTTAAGATCGTGCCAGGAAGCCCAGGTCTCTTATACTTTAGAAATATGTTTTAATCACCTAAAGTAATATATGTTAGTGCTGTTATCATGATTATTATGAGAATGTTGGTCTTGTAATCCCTAGTCAAATTGTTTTTGTTCTGTTAGTTAAAGAATGTTACTGATTCAAGTTCGTGAATCTCGGTTTGGATTAATTCAGGTCTAGCAATCCAGTTAGATCCGATTGAACAAGGTATGTTGGACAGTGGAAGTTGGCACTGGAATTACAAGATAGAAGGTTGTCACATTCAGCTAGATTTGGTAGAATCATAGACCACTGACCACTTCAGATGTTTCCTGCGTGAATCATGGTTCACAGCTTGTCTTGGAGTTCACCTTAATAATTGCGATTACCAAAATGACAGGTTGAACAAATGTTAAACCCTTGTCACATTTAGTTGTTTTAGGCTTTTATTGTAATATGTCGATAGCCTTGTAAAATCCGTGTCTCTTCCTCCCCTGTAATCTTCGAGTTTTCCTTTACCTTTTTTTTGTTTATTTGATTGGGGTGATGTCCATGTAACTGACATTGTAACACTCAGAGGAATTCAAGCAATGAATATGGATCTATTTAATTAATTACAGACCTCTTTTGTAATTATATACATATACTGTCGTCCTTTGAGATCCACCAAATATCTACAAAGTTACACACCCAATTTCCTGTTCTGCTGCTTTCTGTTGAGAGTACGCTTAGCTATATTATTGTAATGGAGAAATGTCTACAGGCGATGTTTGGATTGATGGAATAATATTAGTTGTTATTGTCTGGATTGTTTAAAGAGTAAGGATATTTTAACTATAAAAAATTCTCACTACTAATTTACTACCCATCACATCACCATTGGATTAAAGAGAGAGAATGTTAAAAAGTTTTTGAAGAGAAAGAAAATGTTAATCTAATGGTGATTAAATAGGTAGTAAGTTGGTAGTAAAAAATTTTAGTAGTGAGAATATCTCTCCTCTTGTTTAAATATGATGGAATGGAAATAAACTTGATGGAATGTATCGTATTTCATTCCATCCAATACTTTTTTCTTCCGCCCAAATTGAGGTATAGCATGGAATAGAATGGAACTAACTTATTGTTCAATAATTTCCTTACTATGTCAACTTAGACATAACATTCTTCACAACTCTTTTGGTCAAATTAAAGGCAAATAAATAAATAATAAATAATAATAACCAAAATGAAGAAGAGAAAACTCCTTTAGTTCCCAGGTCCAAAATTCTTTTGATCAATGCAAGGTAAATCACATACTTCACAACATATCTAATGTTAAATTTTATAATGAACATTTATAATATTGAATTATATTTAAAATGGTACTTATATTACCACTTGTACAATTTACTGTACACTCAAGTCTATATCAATACAACTCTTGTCACAACTTTACGCTCATCATAGATTAACTCAAAAATACTAACAAAGGTTAATCTAACAATCCCTTAAGAGGCTCCAATTTTTTAGAGGTAAAAATGGGTTAAGTTAGGCTTTGCTTGATTAAGATTAGGTATGTTTTGTAAAATATTGGTTTCAGTTTGCCTTGTTAGTTGTTACCAAATATAGTTTTTTTTTTCTCAGCTTATTTTTGTGAAAACCTAAATGTTTAGTATAACTGAAAAATCTATTTAAAAGCCTACATCATTTGAAGGCCTTCAAGTAGATTAATAATCCTAGAATTTCTAGTTCTTAAATAGGTAAAAATATGATTTTTTTTTTATAAAATATTATATAACACATAAAATAAAAGTATTCGTGTTAATATATGATCTATAATTTGTGGATCTATTATAAATTTTTATTATATATGTAAATAATTAATAAATATATCAGTATATTAAATAGGTATTTTTAAATATGTGGTATTAGCAGTGTTATGAAATCCGGCCTGACCGACCTGGGTTGGCCCAAACCGGCAAACCAATTATCAAGTCAAGTATCGGACCAACCATGTATCTGACCTGGTCAACTCCGGTCAAAACTGGTGACCCAGTCGGGTCATGCATTTTTATTAAAAAAAAATCAAAAATAAAAAATCAAATATATTTCATCTTGTTAGAAAAAAAATATAGAACTCATTTTAAATTTTTATTATCATTTCATCTTGTCAGAAAAAAATATATAACTCATTTTAAAAAATTTCATAATTTTATTTGCTAGTAATATATTCTTCTACAATAACCTCGAATTTCAGCTTTCAACACTAAAACAATTTGTAGAATAATAAATTAAGTGAATGTGACATATGAGTTCACAATATCTGACCTTTTGAATGTCATTGAGAGGTATGCTTATAGGGATTTTGAATTGCAATTTAAATTGACATAATAATGCATATATTTTTATTTATATGTGCTTTATAAACTTGTAAAAGTGTGATCGAGTAATTTTTAAGCTTATTTAATGAACCTTGTTTAATTCATTTTATTTACAAAGAATATAATTAAATTTATATTTTATATTTTTATATATTCGGGACAACCAATAACTCACCAGTCCAATCAGTGATCTAATATTCTTACCGAATCAACGCCCGAATCAGATTTAATAACACTGAATCTTAGACTTGATTATAAAATTCCTGTGTATGAAAAAAAAATATAATTGAAAGAAGTTCATACTTTCGAATCTAATAATATCTTAAGAAAACAATATCTCGTCTATCAAGAAAGAAAGTTTTTTTTTTTGTTTTTTTGAGAAAAAGAAAAAGGACTCTAACTTATTTTTCTAAATCTTAAATATAATTTATTTAGCAATTAAATTAAGTTAAATAAGATAAAAGTAAACTAGGCCGTAAATCTTTAATGGGTAATCTTATCTACTCTTACCCTTATTTCTTTCCTCTCTCTTTTTTTCAGATTAATTGTATGTTTTGATGGATAGAAAATGAGGAAGAAGAAAAAAGAAAAGAAAAAAAAACGCATTAAACAAGTGGACTCTTCCCTCTAAAGAGTTGGAGGCTGCATTATTATCATCTATATCCCTTTTCAATGTTCCACCAAGCGTTTGAGGTGACATTTACTCATTTGTTCTCTCTTTTTATAATGACCATTCTCAGTACAATCAAAAGTTTAAACAGTTACCTTCATTGTCTTCTTTTATCTTTTTCTAAAAGGCCATGTTCCACTGACATTGTATGTCTGAGAAAATAAAAATCGAATATTCTTTTTCTTTTTCAGTCTTCACCCCAAATATCATGTTTTCATCGTAAAAAAATAATACAAAGTTTTTTTTATCAATTTATTTTAAATTCTTAATAGTTGTAGTGTCATTTTTTAACAGTGTTATTCATATAAACTCTTCAATCGCATGTCTCCATTTCCAACCAACGGTAGAATAGGAAGCTTATCCGAATCGAGGTACGCAATATGTTAAAGATAGAAAGTCATTTTATGTTGATTTTTAAAATAGTATCAAACCCTCTTCATCAGGTGATGAATATTTTATTGATGAATGTTTCAATTCTTCACATTTTAAGCAAATATTTTGGTGCGAGGCAAACGGCTAATGATAGTGTGTCAATTTTAAGTGTATCATCAATCATCGAAGTTTGGCATTTTTTTTTTTTTTTTTAATTTTCAGTTTTTGATATAAACCTTTGGCACCTTACTTTGCTATCATGCTACAAAATAATTTGTTCCAAAGTTTAAAATGATAGATAGGTTGTTTTAAAATGATTTTTTTTTTCATATTAAATGTTCATGATGAGAGTGCATTAATAATGATAATGTCACTTTCTACACCGACTTCCCGAGAATCAAATCTTCACCATTCATTTTTTTTAACATCATCAACAGCTATCTAACTTTTTTGCTTCTTAAATAAGACAACCCAAATATATATAACTTTTTCTTTTTTTCCAGAAGACACGAAATTGATTTAAGAGTAAGAAAAGTCATATGAAATGTGTAAATGAATCGGGTCGGATTAGATTTTAATCCAATTAGGTCAAATGTATGATAAATATTTTAAGCCTTGATTTATTAGTTTGATATAAATTAGGAAAACTTCAAAAAAATTCTTATAACTTTTTCATTTATCCCCTCTCCAAAATTTTGAATCATTTATCTCCTGACTTAAAGTTTTTTTATCACTTACCCCCTAAGTGAGGGGGGTAGATGATAAAAAAACTTTAAGTCAAAGAGGCAAGTGATAAAAAATTTTAAATAAGAGTGTAAATGATTCAAAAATTTTGTGAGGGGTAAGTGATAATTAAGAAAACTCATAGGAGAATTTTTGAAGTTTTCCTTAAATTAAATTATAGGTTTGATTTGACCCATATTAAAAATTAAAAGGTTTGGTCTAGGGCTCTTAAAAAAAATTATTTTATTAATTAAATTTATTAAAATATTTATTTTATTTTATTTAAATTAAAATAAATAATATAATACAAATAAGGTCTTACAAAAGTAGGTTTATGACTTACTTTTAATTTAGCTCTTTTTATTATGTCAAACCTGACTTGATATAAGTCAAGCCATTTACACTGGTTATCAAATGTATTATAACTTGCGATTTAAAACGTTTATCTTCAACTATGAGAATAGAAAGGTTTACCAAATACAAGTGCTCCCATGATAATAACTTGAATTGACACTTAAAAGTTAGACAAAGCTCATTAGAGCTAATTAAACAAAAAATAAATATTTGATGATAGAGGGCACAAAACAAAATACACAATTACTTGATATTTGGCTCCACTTGTGCTGGACTACCAAACTACATCTAGAAGTACTCATTTTGATCCCATCAGTTTCCTTCATGAGACTATACCTCTCGCTCTCTCTAGTCTCTACCAAGAGATAATTTGTATTTTATTGAGAATATTTCTTTCCTTCAATCAATCAAAATATCACATCTTTATTCATGAACTATCATGTCTTGACTTGAAAACTACCAACACAAACCCACCCATTGTCCTAATGAATCAATTATTTGAACTTACTTTTTCACTCCCAGTTGAAACGAAAGATATACCAAATTAGAAATTTAATACTAACCAGAAAACCGAAATTGCAAATGAAATTTCGGAAAAAAAAAAAAAAAAAAAAGAGCAAATAGAAAATGCAATAACAAGACAGCATTGGCCCATGCAGGTCCCAAACCTGCTGTTACCTTGCGTTACCAGCATGATCTATCCATCTGAGCTAATAGGCTATGACACGTAATTGCTCACAGAATAGACTCATGGGAAAGAGATATCAATGCTATTTATATACATTTTTTTTTTTTATATAATAATCAACATCTATTAATTATTATATTAACCTTAAATATTTAAATTCTATAAATATAAAGAGAGGAAAATACTTACATAAAGGACCATATATTTATGAGGTGCAAAGGATAGAGGATAGAGAGAAATATAGGAAAGTGTGAAAGCCATGAAGGGTTATGAGCCCCGTTCAAGCTCTTCTTGTGCAGCTTGCAAGTTATTGAAAAGAAGATGCATACCCAATTGTATTTTTGCACCATACTTTCGCTCTGATGAGTGTAAGAAATTTGCAAAGGTTCACAAGGTATTTGGAGCAAGCAATGTAAGCAAGATCCTCATTGAAGTCCCAGAAGAACAGAGAGAGGACACGGTGAATTCTCTTGCTTATGAGGCAGAGGCAAGGCTAAGAGACCCAGTTTATGGATGCATTGGTGCCATAGCACTTTTGCAAAGGAAGATGGTGGAGCTTCAACATGATCTTGCCATTGCTAAGGATCGTCTTGCTCGTTGTCATGCTGCTTCTGCTTCTGCTACTGCTGCTACCATATCTTCTTCTGCTGATATCTTGCATGCCCATGTTACCTTGCCTCCATTCCCTGACTTTTCCACTTGCAGTGATTTCAATGATATCTTCTGCCACAACTCTTCATCTCAATTATTGACAAGACATGAAGCGGTGGATGATTTCAATCAAATCCCATATAATATTTTAATGTTATGAAATGTTATTGTCCCCTTTTTAATGTAATTGTTATGAATCTTTAGATCAATCAAAAAGAAGCTACTCTGTTGTATATGTCAAGTGATCTCAACAAAACATGTATTAATTACTATGTGTCAAATTTCACAGTTCCTATACTATTACAGGAATTAGGAACTGCTTGAAAATTAAGGGTATGTTGGCCTTTTAGTTTCCCTTTTGTAATAACACTAGGATTTTCATTGATGGTGCTTCTTCCTCTTGCATAATTTTGCAAAGTGACCATGAAACTCTTCTCCGATCAACTCTTTTTTCTATGAATTCCCATTATGTAAGACCATCAAAAAGAAAAAAATGTGAACTGAGATCAGTTTCTTCTAGTCTTGACAGATTGGTGATGGAGACCAGAATAGCCTGAACCTGAACATTCATTACCATTACCTACTAGTGTGTGAGACACCATTCAGCACAAAGAAAGCAACACTTCCTAGTTGATTCTTGCTTATCTTTGAACGATTGCTTCACAATATAAGTGGGTCCAATCGTACTGTTTTAATGCAACATGGAGCACCCATTATGATTTTCCCCGGTAACGAAACCCCACCAATGGCCCCTTAAAGCTTTATCATAGTGGGAATCCAAAGAATAACCCCAAGACCGAAAGTTTTTTTATTTTTTTTTCTTTACCGATTCAGATGGTAACAAGATATGACCCAAAACAAAATGCCTACCGTTCAATTTCAAACTACATGAATTATTAATTGATATCACATTGGTAAGTCCTAAGGCTGCTTGTGTTGATTTAACAATTTCATTTCAGAATACATATCTGATAATGTTTGAATACATAAAAGCATGGTACTAACATTAAATATAGAGCGTAACGATATATATATATCCATGTTGTTCTTTATGCAACACTGCAAGTAGTCAAATAAAAAGGATTCTCAAAAGCAACTTATTTCATGTGAATATACAAACATTGAAACCATACAACTGGTAGTGATGCATTTCATCTCAGTAATCAAACTAATAACCAAACTACGAGGGAAGAAATTATTTGTGGAGTCAGATCCAAGTATGGCTGTCACGAAGAGTACATCGTACTTCTGACACTGGTCAAGTTCATCAGATTTCTGATTACGTCTTTTTCCCTGTTTCAAGAAAAAGTACAAAATCATATGGGAAAGATATTTAACAGGAGAGCAATTTTACCAAATACAAGAGGAATGTGAGGTTGGAAATAAATCCTTTCATTTTTTATTTAACATGACATGTCGTGCAGAAGAAATTTTTTTTTTTTTTGGTAAACATAATTTTAATCATATAAAGATAAATTAATAGTGATAATTTTGTAATCATTTATTTATTTTTGTATAATTATAATTTTTCTACATGACATGATCATATTAAATAACTAACGAGAAGATCCAATCCGAATTATGTTAAACCTGAATCATAATATGTTGGAACGAACAATCACACACAACTTAATTGTATTTGAAAAATGGGAAAAGTGTGTGTTGTTTTAAAGGATGTAAAGTTGTGTCATTTTAAGAGAGAGAAAGAGATAAATAAAAAGAGAGAGAGAGAGTTGATAAAAAAAGTAAAAGTATGAGTCTTAACTCTTTGTGATAGTGAAATGATATAAGTTGTGTCATTTATAAGGATAAACACTTTTCCCTTCAAAAATATATTCTATAACCAGATTTCCCATGCCAAGACAACTTTATCTGAAATTTAATTTAATTTTTTTTTTGGATACAGATGGATTTGATAGACATGAGTCTAAAGCCCAACAAGTATAGAAGACACATAAAAACATAAGAGGTCAATACGAAGATTAACTAGGCATATTCTGTCACTCCTCAAATTCATAAATAAAATAAAACTTAAGGTAGTAAATCATAAGTGTATAGTCAGTAAGCTTATTCCAATGTTACGTTTGATCGGGTATTTGGTATGGAATGACGGGGAAGTGTGGTGAGAAATATTTAATTATCATATTTGATATGAGTATTGTAAAAAAAATCTCAGTAAATAATTTTTCTAACTATTTTTATTTTCAACTACACAAAGACAAATAATTATCTTACTGATTCTTTGGTATTTGTTTTTTCTAGATTCTTAGATTCTGAATATAATATGTTGCGTCAAATAATTATCTCATCAATATTTTATCATCAACCAAATATAACATCAGTAAAACGAACCCAACTTTTCCGACAAAATTTTGACCAATCAAACATTTTTTCGTAATTTATCGGGAATAAATTTTTTTTTACCAAATCCTCAACCATATTTCTTTTGAAGTAAAAAAAATATCTCTACCCAGGATAAAGGTAACGAATGATTCATGGGGTTGGGGAAATGCAATGCATCGGATTCGGACAGGTGGGTTTTTACCGGCGCTGACGTCATCTTCCGTAAGGGTTTCAGCGGAAACGACTCTACAAGGGATGTCGTTTATGCTATCAGCGTGGGCTTGAAAGAAAACAGACAACAAAACAATGGACCGTTCTGGATGTCGATGAAATATTGTTCCGTCCAAAACATTGGACTAAACGGAGGGGTGTGTTGGGCCTGAGTCAGGCTATTGGCCCATAACTTATAATTAAAAACAAATATATATATATATATATGAAAAAAATATTTATCATTTTAAATGACATAATTTTATATGAAATGACCGTGTTTTGGTATATATTTATGGTCTTTTATATTTTTTATCTATTTAATTTTTTTATCTTACAAAATTATATTTTTAATATTAAGAAGAAGTAGAAGTTGCTATATTTTTAAAAATTTCATTATGAAATGCATCTCATGTCTCTAAGAGCTTACAGGCGTAAATGAATTATTTTCATGTTTTATTCTTTCACCCTCGGTGTTTTTTTCACGAAATTCATAACGACTCAATTAATTTGATATCATCTTGAATATTTATCACACTGTATTTCGAGTTACGCAAATGCGAAAACGATGCTTTGTAAAATACGGGGAAAGAGCAAAAAATTTCAGCAAGAAAGCTATTGAAAACACAATAATTCATTTCAAAAGCATATCTTGTTTAAAGAATTATACATGCATATTGTTGTTGGTTTTATTATAATGGTAGACATTTGTTTTAGTTTGAAGGAATCCTCCAAACCTTATCTTAAAGCACCTAAAGGATCATCCGGTGTAACATCGAGTGGAATTGAAGAAAAATATTACATAAAAGAGGGAGAGAATAATTATCCGGAAGTATCTAATGCATTCTTTTCGTACCATATTTATTATAATAATCATATATTATTGTCATTGGGCAGTTATACAGTCAATTATACTAGACATGAATCATGATTACATAAAAAGTCAAATGCCTTAAGCATCGAGTACATTTAAGATTATCTCTACCATGAAAGGAAAAAAAAAAAAAAAAGTGGTTCATAATAGTGAAATGAAATGTCGCTGCTTATGAAATATGCAATTTTTCCACGCTTCTCGATGGATGCATCCAGTTCTTTAAAAAGATTACGATTTACGAATAAGCTACTAAATTATTTATTTCTCTACTATGCGTCATGCATATCTTGTTGAAAAACAAAAGACACAATCTACTTTTTTTTATGGAAAATTACATAAATAATTTTAACGTTTATGACATGAGTAATAAATAAAAAATGATTATTTACAGGCATCTCATTATACTAACAAGTAGTCTATAATCAAAATAAAGCACTAATTGCAACGATGCCTGAATGACAGCCTCGTACAACGGACCCGACCATATTCCTCTACATGTTTAAAAACAAATATTGTATTTTTTTAAGATATTTTAATGAGTTTATCCTTATCGATTAGTTTAATTTGAGGTGAGTTTTGGGATTAAGACTTTAAATCTCTCTAAAAGATGATAATGAAAAGTACTGAGCACATGTTTTTATCCTCACTTGCTCAGTTCTCTGGCACCAACTAAACTACCATAATTTGGTTATTTAAAAACAATATAAATAACTATAATATATATAAACAACTAATGATTACAGTAATTATTGTTTGACTTTAATGTTTCTAAAGTGAATGTAGATAAGTTATTTATATTCACTCTCAAATAATGTGGGTTAAATGATTAAAAAATTATAATGAGAAAAACTATTATAATCCTGAAATAAATTATATTTATAAAAATATCTTGATTTTCGTCTCAAAACAATATTATTTTAAGTTCAATGTAGATAATTTATCTATATTGACTACAAAAAACGAACATTACAGTGTAAGAAATTTCATAATATGATTATATGAAATTAGAACACCAAAAAATTTAGGCTTACTTGTTGAAGACATGATTCGCGTGATTCTTGATTTCTTGAAGGCTTTCTTGTTCTTGTTTGCTCTGATGCTCCTACAAGATTGGAAAGACTATGATCTTCATCTGTAATTCATACCACTCTCTGATCACAACTGTCAATGGGCAAGTTGTGGAGTTACAATTTTTTAATACGTTGTGAATGCAGAGGGGGCCTAACTAAACTTATTAACCTAGTCTCTTTCCCGTCATGGGCCTATGAGTTAGGCCTACATTATTACTCACACTAATCAGTTTACATATATCCAAGTCCAAATCAAAAAGATCACTAATTAACTGGGTTTTATACTGCACCCCTATATGGATCATGGCATTGCCCGTTTTTATTAAAACAAGAAAAACTACAATTAATTGAAGCCCACAATTATTATAATTTTTTTTTATTTCGTCCAAAAGAATATCATGTGTCCATTCTATAAATATAGAGATTAAGTCATCGTATATACATCCCATCCCCTATATTTTACTCTCATTTAAATGCGAACTTCAGCATTGATATATATCTTAACATTTGGGGAATGAATAATCCTCTCTCCTTTATGTAATGGCTTGAGTATTTAAGTCTCTCCATACGACAAATGAATTTTCTCATCTCTAGATTTTAACATTATCATATCATATGGAAAAATAGTAGTCATTCATATAGATTAACGGTCATATTTTTAATGACAAAGTTTATATACTTTAATTGTTGAACATTCTAAGAATGCTTATTAGAATTTTTCACATGACAAAACTATGTTAAAACAAAACACGAGGATCCATTCCCCTCCTATGCACTATCCATTCTCTCTAAATAATATACAAAAAAAGCTACCAACAAGCCCAAGCATTTGCCAACGGTGTAAGCTTTGGAAAATCAAATATGGGTGGTGAAGTCATACATTGGTTAGGAATAGATTATGCGATAATTATATAAGTAAAAGAATTAATGAACTTGATACCTTAAACTTTTGAATTCAAATATAATGTCAAATTAATCTACTTATTGGTGTATTGTTATTTAACCCATTGATAATGGACTCCCCCTTTCTTATCCGTGATACAAGAGCCACTAATGAGATTAATTAGTTGTGGGTGATGAAATTTCACATAGATCAAAAATAGTACCAATCTCCTATTCCGAAATAATAATGTTACAATAGTTTTTTTAAGTTCTCAAGATTGTCTTAAAAATGAATATATAAATTTTAGTAAAAGTAAGTGCCAAAGTTTATTATATTTTAAATTTCATTCAAAAGTTTAAACTCAAGTGATACAAGTTTGGAGAATACTTAATATTAAGAAAAACATTTGCATAAGCTATTTTTCATAAGAATCATTTTATTTTTATAAATTTTCTTTTCTCTTCTAAAAAAAATTTAAACTGTCTAAGAGCCTTTTTGACACATTTTTCAAGTGAAAAGCTACTTTTAAGCTATAATAATAAAAAAAAGACCCATCAAACCGTCACTAAATTTCATCAAAGTTATTTTGCCCTTCTTATCTTCCTTCCGAATTCCGATCACGTTTTATACATATGTTACAAATTATGGAAAAAAAAAAGAAAAAAAAACTCTAGATATTTTCAAGCAAAAAGGCAATAGTGAACATGGAGCGGGGGAATTTCCTTTCTAATGATTTTGTTTTTAACACAGGTGTCAAGCTGTGTACAAATGTATATAAAGCGAACAAGATCTTGTTGCTGCAAAAAAGAGTCGTACCAGGAAAAGAAATTTTTGTGTGTCACTTCGAGAAAAGGAAAGTAAGTGGGAACCGCATCAAATTAGTTTCTATTCCGAAATCAGATCACCCATTCCCCCAACTTACTGCTTTGGCCCATAAATTTAATAACCGTAATTAATAGCAATGTTTTCGTCTGATTATTAATTTAATATGTTAAATTGATTAAACCATGGATAAATATATCTATTGATTTTATAAAGTATTGATAATTTTGGAAGTTATGCATCCCAACTCAATCCATATTAACCTGATAGTATCATTGAAATGGTGAATTTTTTTAAAAAGTTAAGAATATGATTTTGTGAAATAGTTATGAAAATAAATAATGGAAATACTTTTCTTATGTTGCTAAGAAAATAATTATCTCATGTTATAAAAATAAAATTATATGTGGGACACAAAGGTAAGAGGAGAGAAAAAAATAGTGGTGAGATCCAACCCTTTTTTGTATGTGTAGAAAAATTATTTATCTCATGTAAAATGAAATAAACATAACCCCATAAATAATATTAGTTGTATTTTATAATGGGATATGTTTTTCATATGTTATATGAAATAATATATCCTCCCTACTCATACATCAAAAGGTAAATTAACATTTATTTATTTTAAAAAAAGTAAGGGAAAAATATTGTGACAACCAAGTTATGTTACTACCAAGTGACTACCAATCAATCTCACCGTTAGATCGATTATGTTGATCCAATGGTTATATTTATTTCCATCTTTGTATGGTCATGATTCCTCATATTTAAAGTGAAAGCATTAAATATGAGAAATCATAACCATACAAAGGTGAAAATAAATATAAAGTATTAAATTTGAAAAATCATAACCATACAAAGATGAAAATAAATATAACCGTTGGATCAATATAATCGATCTAACAATAAGATTGATTGGTAGTCACTTAATAGTAACATAACTTGATTGTCACAATATCCTTCTCCAAAAAAGTATTAGATAATTAATCTCTTTCAACATTAAACTAGTATTTTTCTTTTATAATTGATGAAGTAGAAAATAAGAATTTATATTTTCTATATTTCTTAAATAAACATGTGAAGAATACCTACACAAGTCAACCTACAAAGGAAAAAAAAAACAGAGGTTGGTTCATAAATGCGAGTCCCTGAGAAACCGGTGGTAACTGTCAACGGCGGCGGTGGGGACAGCCACCGCGACCTTCACGCTCTCACTTTGATCCCTCACCGGAAGAAACAAACAGTACCTATCGCAGCAAATGGGTCCCACATGCACCGGCTTCCCCATTCCAAGCTCAACCCTCTCAAGACCCAGCCTCGACCACTGCGACACTATCAGAACCCCAACCGAGTCAGGACTCGCCTTCGACTCGGACACCAACTCAGCCACGCTCCTCACGTGCGCGTTGTCCACCTTCTCCTTCGCTCTCTTCACCACACTCGCCACGTGCCCCATCCCTTTCTCCGCTAACTCCCTAGCACTGCTCTGCGCACAACCCAGAACAAACGCGTTCCCATAATACCCCTCGGGTAAACCCGGTTTGACCCGGTTCCTCACGTTCACGCTGAACAGAAGCTTCAACTTCTGGTTCGCTGGGAAACCCAATGCTCTCGCCCAGCTCCTCCACACGTGCGCCGCAAGCACCTCAAACGACGTGAACAACGACTCGCCGGGTTGACTCGCGCACTGAGCGATGCTCTTGAGCTCGTTGAGTCGTCTCTTGTCGAACACAATGCAAGTTGGTTTTAGACCGCTCGTGACCCGGTTCATGAACCCGCAGAGATCGGGGACCCGGTTGAACTCGGGGAGAATCGCCGGGTTAGACCGAGTCATCTTCGCCGGCGGCAAAAGAAGGTGGCGATCCCAAACCGGTTTCGGTTTCGGATCGGAGCGTTTACCAGAAGCTAAATCAGAGAAATAGTTGAGAAACTCAGCGCTGCCGATTCCGTCGCAGATGCAGTGGTTGATTCCGACGCCGACCGCGGCGGCGCCGTCGGCGAGCCAGGTGATCTGAACAACTAGCGGCGGAGATCCTTTGAGAACGTCGGGGACGTAAAGGGACAAGAGTTTCCTCCAGTGGGTAACTGTTTTGGGGGCTCTTTCAAAGTCGTTGAGAGTGTAACGGTCAGAGAAGGCTTCGATGAAGACCGCACCCTGGGCTCGACAAACCACCTCGAGGCCCGGGCCATCGGGCCTGGCCCTAACCCTTCCGGCGAATGGGTAATAAGGAACCAAGGCTTTGGCTAATGCATCTTTCAAACGAGCCACGGTGGCAACCTGGTCCAAGCCCGGCCCGGGCCTATAGACCAAGAGGTACTCTATGGTGAAACGAAGGAAGAGTTGGGAATCAAGTGGTGAGAGTAATAAGACACCACTTGGGGTGGGATCAGAAGGGGTCACAACCACAGCTTCTTTGATACGCACTGAGCTTTCCATGTGATATTAATTTGTTTGTGTTGGTTTAGCGTTTGGAAAGAGATGAGAAGATTGAAGGAGCTTTGATAACTAAGGTGTGTGGTGAATGAATGCATACACAAAAGAAAGGGCAAAAGAACAAACAAGGTTTTGGGTGCGAGTGGAAGTGCATGTGCCAGATGGTGTGGTATTTGTAATATTGGGGACCCTGTGCTGTTGTGTGTCTGCAGGGAATCACTTTATGCAAAAATTAAATAAAAAAATGAAATATCAAAAAATAAATAGTGAACTTTGCTTTCTGTCTGTTGGGGGGAACTGTTAGCCAGTCATGTCCATCTCCCCCTTGATAAAAAAAAAAAATCAAATTTACGCGTACTCAAATTCCTCTGAAAAATCTTTTTTTGTTGTTTTTTTCTTTATGTGTTTGTGACAAGTTGGATCGTGGTTGCTTCATTTCTGGTATCTGTCTGTCTAGTTCATGTTCCTATACCTAGTAGAATTATTGGGCCAAAAACATTAAAATACAAAAGGAGGAAAAGCAATACCTTAATGATAGGCATGCATATATGTGACATTTCGTTGCATGGATCCACATGATTGGGAACAACTTGAGCGTGGGGTCTAAAAGTAAAAAGGAAACTATTCTACTAATTAGATATGTACAAATTACTATAGTGAAAGTGTGTTTGCCTTTGTTTTAACGGATTATATTTCCAAATACTTAGCACTCGGTTCTTTCGCAGGAACATAATCAGTTTACCATTAAATTGGGACAAAATGACGACTAGGTGACCACTTACAGAGTATTGCTATTGTTTTGCGCACTAACTGAATGTTTGTCATATCTTGGATTCTTCTTTTATAAATTTAAGAATAAGGAAATAGATTCTTTATATCCATTCATATATACCTTGATTACGTTCATATTTAATGTTTTTGTTGTCCTTTCAGCATATTATGTTCAATCACACATGAATAGAATTTCTTTCCTAAGAAGGAATGGTGTGAAACCTCAGTGCTGGTATTTAAGAGAAATTAAGAAGAAAAAACCACTCATGTACGTGTAGCAACTATAGGAAGTGGATGGTTATCTTCACATCGATCGTACGTAATAGATTTCCACATCTTAGACGCATGCGTTTAGAATATTAACATTGTAGGAGTGATAGATTCCTCGAAATTTAAAATTTCCACAAATTAGTATCTCGTGTATAAGTTTTTAACTTTAACTGTCTTATCCTTTATCACGTGAAAATATCGGTGTACCAAACTCTTCAAGATTTAAATCATCAATATGTTTTCAAACCCAAAAAAGGGGAATCAATGTTTATTATTAAACTTGTGATTTACATTTATGTTAAAGACATCCTTGGGTTATTACAGTACAGTTTTTTCAACATCAAAAATAAAGAAAGACTAGAATTTCTGTCTTCTTGCACAACTTTGGTCCTATAGCTGGGAGGTCGCAAATGATATAAAATCTTACAAAGCACACTCTAGTAGTAGGATGCCAATGTAAGATATGTTATATATATAGCTCACATAAACAATATATGCAGTTTATGCACATTGGTATACGCCAAAGCCAATGATGAATATTTTCAAGAAAAAAACCGGTCGATATTATATATTTCGTAACTTTATTCGACGTGAGCAAATCTCAAACTCAAAAAGAATATATAGGCCACTGAGAGAATATATATGTCACAAGCCGAATCATATAATATACCAATTAAAAAAATATTATTGTACTAGTCAAATTTCATGCTTAAGCTTCACATTTCATGTGTTGGGTAAAAATGTAAGAAGAGATGGTTTTTCAAAAAAAATAAAATAAAAGCTAAAGGTCTAAAAAAGGGAAGAGAAATATGTTGTTAGGCAGGTAAAATCTTAATTACTCAATGAAAATTTTGTGAAAAATATCAAATTTTTATCAATTCGTTGATCGTATTTGCAATAAATTGTAAAAAAAAAAAAAGAGATTAAGAGGGATATAATATAAGTATATAGTCTTAATTGTAGAGTGATCCTTTTGTCTGTTTGTGAGGAATATTGTCGCCCAGATTTGTGGCAGATATAAAGAAACTTGTATCCTAGTCTAGTGTCCTAAATTTAGGAATAGGTTGATGAGGGTGTGTCTTTTGTGCTCATGCTAATAATATACAGAAGCAAGAAAAGAATTGTCAACTGTTCCTTTTTTCTATTTCTAATTAAATATCCATTCTTGATTCCATATCTACGGATATGGATTACACCTCTCGTTACCAAAATTATAATTAATACAAAACACTTTTTTTTTTTGGATCAGAACTCGAATGCTATCCTTATATATAAAGCAAGCACCCAAGTTTCGTTCTTGATTCGGATAAAATATAGGCTCAACCAGGGCCCAAAATCACATAAGGAAGCCCAGACCCATTGAAAATCAGAGCAAAGCGCAAAGAACAAACACAGACGCGATGCCCTCACCGTGACACACAAGACGCGATGCCCTCATCATGTCACACAAGACGCGATACCCACATCGCGTATGAAACCTTCTATAGAAAGTAAACTTAAGGCCCAAGGCAACTCCACCGCGCCTTAACTCAAGTAAACAACGGACAGCTCCAGCTTGCCACAACTCTACTACTAGACATTATGGAAGATAAGGTTACTCAGGTCCCCTGACTGACCTGCAGCCCAAGGCTGGCAACTCAGAAGCCAAGCCGCCTTAACTAAGGCGGCATCTTAACTACTATATAAGCAAACGATGTACCACCAAGGTACGATCATCTTTACTTAATCAACACAAAAACATCTGCCTCTGATACTGACTTAAGCATCAGAGTGTCTTCGCAGGTACCCCTCATTTGGTGCAACACGCCAACGAGGACAAAGCTCAAGCACTCTCCAACAGCAATATCAGGCCCAGGCTACTAACTACGTAAGATCATTCAACCATGTGTGATTGGGCTCGATACATATAGGCCAGTCCATACTGTATTTGATCCGATCAGTTCTAAATGTCACAATTCAAAATTAGCTAAATATTGTCATTTATATTTTTAAAAACACAATATTATTATCCTGCCTATACAAGATAAAGAATATATCCTGCGTAGTGAGAGAGATACACATGGTTCTTAGTTATTTTGGCATAGAAAGGGTTGAACATGTTGGTGTCGTGGAGTCCGTCACTTACAATCCGGCTTCTTGATATCAAATAGCCCGACTTTCACCAACTTAGTTTGTGGAAGCGTCAATGAACAAACAGTAAAATGAAATCAAAAGAGAGATAGGGATAATAGAGAACACCAAATTTTTAACGTAAAAAATCTAAAAATTATGGGACCTAGTTCAAAAAAATTTCACTATGAATAATAGGATTATAAGAATTCACTATGATTCAGTAACCATCGGACTTAGAGGATAAGTTACTCACAAAGTTTCTCGAACAAGTGTTTCTTTCTGTAAAGAAATGGGAATCCTACTCTATAGGCTTTCTTCCTTCTTCAGCAAAAGTACTGAGTTTCTTCTTTAGAGAGTCTCTAAATCCGACTTACGTTTTCTCCTTTGCGTTTCTCTCTTTTCGCTCTCTAAACTGGCGGCGGCAAAGTGTTACAAGTCCCATACAACAAATGTGAGATTTATAAAGCCCTGACATTCTCACCTTTTGAGCTAACTTTTGACAATGGCAGAGCCAGAAGAAAAACTCAACCAATATCAAAAGACCCACCTAGTACAATTCAGGAAGGTTGTATTATTTTTAAAAACTCAATCAGTATTAAGGCTATACCTTAATCTAACTAAAATACAAGTGGCTCCGCCACTGGCTTTTAAGGTGTTGACCTCAAGTTCGTAATAATTGGTGCTTTCATTGGGAGTTAAGGCCACAGAAAAGGCTACACCTATAGGCTGGATTAAGGTACTATATCTCCCAAAGAGGTGTTGTAATGAATACTGATAGATGAGTGAAGCCGCCTAAAGGAAAAGGGCTACCATCGGATAGAGTGAAAGTCATCATGGACGTCGGCCCTTAAAGGAGTGACAATGTTATGAGTCCTACGTTAGTTGCCCATACATCCGATGTAAGGTTTATAAAACTTTGGACACTCCTATTCAAGCTAATTTTTGGAATTGTGACCTCAACTCCGTAACACTAGGTATCTCTTTTAAATAAGAAATTAAGATACCCATCAATTGGACCGGATCTATCATGGCCACGGAGCCAACAATATATATATAAGGATGAGAACTACACAATTGGAAAAGATAATTTTTGTGTGTCGCTTTTAACGAATTATAGGTCAGGCTGTCGTGTCCAAATTAAGATTAGGATGATATTCGTCTTTGTAAAAGGTTTAATTAAAGTATTGTTTATGGTTTTAGCACAAAAGTGATCAAAATCTTATAGGGCTTATAATCTTGATGGATGTGCTTGCACTCTTTGCTTTTTTATTCCTTCTTCCTCTGGCTGTCTCCTTTTGTCCTGCATGCTCATCACGTCTTTTCACAAAAGAAAGCAAAACCAATTTCAGGACAAGATAGATGGACGCTCAAAATAATATTATCTGCTGATAAAAAGAAAAAGATGCACTAATCGTCTTTGTTCTTATCTACAAGAAGGAATATATCACATGGTTCTGCATGTTGATATGAAGTTATGAACATTTTGTTGTCAAAATTATATATAACATGTAGGGCGTTAACGGTGGTATTATTTCACATATACTACAACATGAGATGATAGAACAGGAAGAGAGATTAGCAATAGTAAACTATTTGTGTTCCTCTTTTTGTAAACTATTTTGCATCTTGCCAAAAAGTTCGATCTATATGTTTGAATTTTTGCTAGTTTCATTCTTTCTCTTCAAAGAATCAATTTGTTGGGGCTTGAGGAGCAGATACCTAAAAACAATACCTAAAAACAAACTTTTCTCTGGGATCAGTAACAAGTCTTAATTGATCCCATAAAATTAAGAACCCCTTTCAGGTTATCAGAAAATTATTACAAAAATATAATATATACTATTAACGTAATTTTACCTAACCATTTAAATTTTTTAATAGAATTAGTTTTTTACGTAATATCAGAGTCTCTGTGGCCAAGTGGTTATAAACTCTATCTTCACCGCCCTTAGCACAAATAAGTAGAGCCT